GATATGATAGAGAAACTCTATCTTCTGTTAAAATAACTTTAAATACTATCACTATAAGGTAGTGTACAAACCCAACTACAAGCAACAATTGTCTTCTATCTAAAAAATATCTTTTATTCTACATTGTGAAACTGTCACTGCCTTACCAGTCCATGATGTTAGTAGATAAAGCTGCCGAGAAACCTAGAATGTTGAAACTGATTTCAGTAGCTGTACACAGAGCTAGCCCACCCATAACAGGAATCAGGGAGAGATTAACCAGCAATCCTGCAAGGGAAAGGAAAAATTGAAATCTGAGTTTAATTCCTGTACCTCCAGTTACAGGTACCACATACTGTAGTTTTTTGAACGCTTAAATTCCACCTTAATTTCTTTAGTTGAAAGAGCGAGCAACTTATGTGACTGAATTTTAAAGCACACAGATCTTAGCCAAGAGCAGGGTGCTCTTGCAAACAATATGGGACATGTGCTTACTGATAAATCTCCCTTGGAGAAAGAAAATGGATCTTTTTTCACCAAATGACAGGAAAAGAATATAATCTCCCTGCTTATTCTGTGACTGAATTAACTCTTCTTCCTCTGGCTCATTCCAGCCTTCTGCCATTTGCATCACAAAGCAATCTATATGTGGCTTCTGTATTACTTCTATGGCTTACATCTTGTAAGATGCAAAATCTCTTCAAGCAAAGAGCATGAGAGTGCAAGTGGAAATCACATCTCAATGTGAAGTACTCACCAGTGTATTCCCCCAGTATCATCCGAGACATGATAACAGTAAAAATAGGTGCAGAGCTTTTCACAGTTTCTGCAAATGAAACTGCCACATTCTTCAAGCTGACAAGACCCAAGACAACTGTTGCAAATCTGCAGTGGAACACCACAGGAAATGAAGCAGAAAGAACAATGCTTTAAGAGCTACTCTTTGACATCTAGAATAAAAAAAGAATTGCATTATAATTTCTTTAGGTTCAGAAGAATGATCTCTAGGAATTATTTACCCACTTACCTCATTAATCCAACAAACAGCATTATCATGATGAAATTGGGTGGATAAGAGATGCGTGTTTTGTGTTGATATAAGCAGCATGGAACAAACATTTTGATACAGCCGATGAAGGTGGTTGAAAGCATCTGAACAGCACCTAAAGAAAGATGAGAGGGAAAAACAGCATAAATCACAAGATTTTATTTTCTGTGAAAACCCACACTACCCTCCAACACAGAAAAAGAAGTGCATTTTGCTCTATGGCTCTTAGCTCTCAGACACCACCTTTCAGGAAGCGGAGGAAAGGACAGTGTCAGATTCCCCTTCACAGGCTGAGATCACAACTCTTGAGTTCCCAGCCCCAAGATCCAACCCACACCTCCTAACTAGGTCTTTTTCACTTCAGTTGAACCATTTTGTCTGTCAATTTTATATTGGAGGAAGTGGTATTGTCAAATATCTTACTGGAATTAAAGTGTAACAGAAATATGGTTACCTAGCATGCTGGGCTCTCCTTCCAGTAATGAAAGGATGTATTTGTTAAGAAAAAGGGTGCAAAAGCTGAAGAAAAACCACAAAGTGAGGTAGATGAGAGCATGAGAATTCCAGATGCCCAAGTCCGACTCAATGACTGTGGTCTCTGTGATGGTTATTTTCAGCACGTTCTCCTCTGGCACACTGTCACTCCTAGCAATTACAAACTTCTCACTCCTGTTAGCAAAGAGTGAACCCAAATGAAATAGTGATTTTCCCTTTGGTTTTTCTTCAAGGGGGGGAGGATTGGGTTCCTCTGGTGTCTGAGCACTTGTCACAGTCGACATGCTGACCTGAAGAAATCAGTACTTGTCCTTAACACAAACCAACATTGACTTAGCACAGAACGGCACTTGGATGAAACAAAACTATCATGTGCTCAGTGTTTCGTCTCCCATGGCCTGAAGAAGTGTACTTGGTCCTCCAAATTACATCTTGCATAAAGATGAGCTTCACCTCCTGTTTTGTGTGGTCTATTCCATTTTTTCTGCCTAGAATGAAAAAAATAGAGAAAGAAGTAAAAAAGCATGTAGCTCTGAACATAGTGACATCTGAAATCCCTGATGCAGCAAAGATACCACATTTCACCTGCAGTTTACAAAAGCTAAAAAAAGACTTCAGTAGCTTGTCTGTCAGACTGGAGTTTGCACTCCTAATATGATCCCAAGACTAAGCACAAACTTAGATAAGGGAGATCTAAAACAGCATGCACAAACACAGAAGACCTCACATGTCAACACAGCCTTTTCAATTACAATGAGCTCCTCTTCAAGATTCTACAGTTTCTTTGATCTCAGTCTAAGGTCTTCTTATAAGAAAAATCTTCACAGCCCAGAAGATCTGGGCAGGAGCCTGTTCCCTTAGCACTAACTGACCTGTTATCAACTGGAGTCAATAATCAAGGACTGTAAGTTCTAGTAATCCTAACCACAGTTATCCTGGTAAATGTGAGCTTGCAATTCAATATTAGTATTCGCAATAATTCTTAAAGCCTTTTTAAAAGATCTGACAGGAAAAGGCATCAAATCATTTGCAACCACGGGTTTCTCCTTTTGTAAATTACCTGAAGTATGACCAGTTACAGTAGAAGAGTACAGGGACTAACAAAAACGTACAGTGACCTTTACTCTTAAGTCATGTAATGTTAGTTGGTATCATAATGCTAACAGATTCAAAGTCCATATTAAGAAAGAAAGAAATTGCATGTGAGCAGCTTATCTACAACACTAAAACACACCATTGGCTTTCCTGCTTCCTATTTTGCAGTCTGTTTTCAGAGCAGAAGAAAACAGGACGAGTCAGATGAGAATGGATGGACAGGACCTCTTCTGCTCCTCAACAAACACACACTAGGAGAAACTACACTTGAAATACTTTTATCCAGAAAGAAATTTGCTGGATAAACAAGATGGAGAATGTTATGCAGTTAAAAAGTAACCACTGGAGGGGGATCACTGGACGTCTGGGAAAAGCTGCCTGAAATGAGATCATAGCATCATAACAGTGGCAACACAAGAAATAATCAATGGCAAGCAAAAAACCAAGAGCTATAGCGAGAGCTGCTGCTGATTTTGTCAGCATGTGAACAGGATATAGCATCTCGAAATAAATCATAAATATGTCCTAAAGAGTTAAACATAGTGCTTCACTTTTGACTTCCTAAACAGCAACTACTTTACACTGAAATTTTCCATCCCTCTGGTTCTGTTTCTGGTATTCCAGCCATGCACAGAAGGTTTCCACCCCATCCCCTTAATTTCTTGCCATTTTACCAGGAAATCAAGCCAGCAGCATGCTGAGGTACAAGCCCCTCTGACACACTCATGTTAAAACCATATACTTGTATTAAAAGCCCTCCACATTCAGAACAGTTATCACAACTTTGTAATACTTTTTCTGTTTCTGCTACTCAAGTAAAACCAAAAGCACTTATGCACAATGAAACTCCCACCCTCAGCAGCACTGGCATCGTATTTGATAGCACTGATACCACACATGGCAGGAAGCACAACAGCAAAAAAGAACACCACTACACACTTAAATTACTGACCTGCTGTCTGAAATCAACTGGAAGATCTTAAATGAGCTGAAAGAGTTCTCCATCTGGAACCAATTCTGTCATCCTCCCTTAAGACCAACCTGCAGCTGATGTTTACCAATAGACGAAAACGTGGCAGTGGTTGGTTCTTGGATGACACATACAGAATCAGTCTTGCAGCTCAAAAGAACAGCGTGCAGAGTGTTTTGCACTCTTCCTTGTATCTTCTCCAACTTTTAACTATGTTAGCAATAAGAATGTTGCGTTAAAGGTGGAAAAATACAGAGAATAAGCTTGGCAAGAGATAAACCCAACTCAATATTGAATTGTGTCAATGTGATTATCACCGACACATGTCAATTTTTAACCCTGTTTTTAAAGAAATTATCGAAAATTAAGAGGCTCCTCCATCCCCAACCCCTGCCACGGGCAGGGACCCCTTCCACTAGAGCAGCTTGCTCCAAGCCCCTGTGTCCAACCTGGCCTTGAACACTGCCAGGGATGGGGCAGCCACAGCTTCTCTGGGCACCCTGTGCCAGCGCCTCAGCACCCTCACAGGGAAGAGCTTCCTAATAACTAATCTAAATCTCCCCTCTGTCAGTTTAATGCCATTCCCCATTATCTTGTCACTACAACAGATCTTAAAGTGAAAAATAAGATGGAAATAGCCCAGTATTTCTCGCAGTCCAGCTGTACTTCCAGTCAGTCCTAAACCCTTCCCTGCCCTCACCGGACCGGGTACCGGGCAGACCCGCGGGTGTTCCGCATCCCGCAGCCTTCGGGGCCGGCCGAGCATCCCGAATGGGAGAGCGGCTTCACGGCGGTTCAGATCCCGTCCCGGGAGCGGCGCTGTACCTCGACCTTCACACTCGACTTTCCTCTGCAGAGCGCACCTCCTTTGCATGAAGCAGCACCGATCCCCGCCCACCTCCTCCGGGCGGGCGGATCTCCCCCTGCAGCACAGCCCGGCCCCGGCGCTCCCTCCCGCTGCCAAAGCCCCGGCGCTCCCGGGTCGCACCGGGCGGAGCAACCCCAGCCTCGGGCAGCGCCTCCGCCGCGCAGCGCCCCCAGGGCCGAGCTGCGGGGATGGGTGATGGGTGATGGATGGAGCGGGCGCGCTCCCGGGAGCCAACAGCCCCCAGCGGGCAAAGCGCCTCGCCGGCGGCCGCCCTTCGCCGGGAGCGGAGCCGGGGCCCAGGCCCCTTTGTCACAGCACCCGTTTGTTGCCCTGTCGCGACGTGCGGACAACGGGGCGCCATTTTGGGGAGAAAACCACCACAAAAGAACAGTAAGCACAAAGGAAGGGAGGTTACAGGGGACGCAGCTCCGGGAGCAGCCGCTTGAGCCCACACACGGCTCCGCCAGGCGCTTCACTCGAGGCCTGCCCCTCACACCGAGCCGGACGAGAAGCACCGGCCCGCCTGCCCCTGACGCGGCCGCTCCGCCCGAGGAGGGCTCCGAAGCGTGGGGCACAACGGAGCGGCGCATCCCGCTACCCGGGACGGGGAAGTGACGTCCCGCGCTCGCCCGGCCTGCCCCGGAAGTGCAGGCGCTGCCCGGAACCCGCGCTTGGCCGCCGCAGCCATGTAGGTCCCGTTACCGTTACCGGAGCGGCCATGGAGGGCGCCGAGGACAGGTAGCGGCGGGAGCTCGCGGAGCGCCATCGGCGGCGGCGGGAGGGGAGGCCGGGCGGAACCAAGCGCTGAGGGGAGGGTGGCTCTCGGCGCTCTCCCGCCCCGTTACCCGGGAGGGCGTGGGCCGGAGAGGGGAGGGGCCTGGGCTGCTTCTCCGCCCCCTCCTCCGGTTGGTACGGCCCACTTGTGAGGGCGCAAGTGGTCCCTGCCGGCGGGGCGGGCGGTTCCGGTGATCGTTCCCGTTCCTCTTCCCATTCCTATTCCCGTTCCCATTCCCATTTTCTCTCCTTTGCAGCGGCAGCGCAGCCCCCCCCCAGCCGAACCTCACCCCCCGGCACCGGCAGCTCATCCCCACGCCCTGTGGCCCAGTGAGTACACCGTCCCGCGGTGACTGCTTCCCCCGGTAAAGGCATCCTGAGAGTCCGAAAGAAGTCAGGGACGTGAGGGCAGACGGGGTTGATGCCCGTTAAAACTGTGTTATCAAACAGGCACGGGGCTGTCGGTGCCTCGGTCTGACCGTGCAGTGACTCGAGCACTGCCGTGTTCTCAAAACCAGCTGGTTTTACTTAAATAAACCTGTTTAACAATGACGATAAACCTGTGGGTTCCAGTACGCAACACGCAACTCATCAAAAGCTCCTGCATGTGCAGAAAGCAGCATTCCTGATGTCCATGAAAAGCACGGCCATTCAATGCTGCATGATCCCAATGGAGCGGGAGCTCAGCCCAAGCTCCCAGCAACTCCAGTGCCTTTTTCCTGTCACTGCCAATCCCACATGGAAGCGAAGCAGGCATTGCTGACCTGGTGCCATCTTTTTAGGAACAGCAACTAGTTTGTACTGCGTTACATGTTTAAGAATGTTCTTCCTTTACAGATAAAGCCTTGTTCAGAGCTCTCATTTCCTGTGAAGATCTACTTCTGTGTCACTATCTTGTCTCTGCTGAGTGTCATAGGGCTAACCATAGAGACGCTTGTTCGACAGACTGAGGAAGATTTCACCATTTCTCTTATTCAGTTAATTGGAGTTGGTAAGAAACACACTGTTTGTATTTTAAAACAAATACATTTTCCCCCAGGGTAGTAATTAAGCAACTGAAGTTTCTTATTTCAGTCCATTTGGCCTGATGCATTCCACATAGAATCTTCTATAGCTCAGTGCTAAGAAGCTAGATGCTTTTCCCACTGTGGCTTTTCCCAGTGGTATTTTAGTTAAAGGACCATTAATAGATGTGGTGTCATTCACAGTAGATTCATGTGTGAATAGTATGAAGAGATACTCAGGTTTTAGGAAGCTCTCCTATAATTTGCTTTCTCATTGGCCTTTCCTCAGGCAGATGTGGCAATGATTTTGCTTTCATTTTGCTTTCAGACCACTGTCACTTCACGTAAAACATAGTGAATGTTCAGAGCTTACCATTTTCCATCTTAATGTCTGTGCCATAATATGCTGGGGAATTCAGAGATATCCAAGCTCCAAGGCTTGTCATAGAGCATACATCTTCCAACATGAGCCATGCTTATACTGAGTTGTAGTTAGCTTCATGGCACCTTCTTACACGGCAAGAAACCAAACATACATAGCTTGATCTGAAAAAGAAAACATCAAGGCATCTCTCTGTGTTAAGTTCCTTCAAGGATGTCGCTTCACCTGAAGTATTTTAATAAAAGAGAATAAGGACCTTGTTTCTTTAAAGCACTCTTTTTGTCTGATCATTATTGTCCCACTGGAAACAAAAGCCAAACTTCCTTCGGTATTTCCCATTAGAGCTTCAATAGAAACGGATGTTCATATTCCTGGCTCCATTTGCATTAAGTAGAAATGAAACTTAACACTAAAATAAGTACATCTATAAGTATTTTTGGGAGTCTTCTTCAATGGCTTTAGGAGTTCTTGGCTGTTGGCTTGCTGGCCAAAACAGTGTAGAAAAGAATAGACTATGGGAGTACTTCCTACACTGGGAGTGTAGGAAGGAGCAGGGCACACTCATCATCATCAGTCATTGCTTCCCAGCTTTCATCCAGAGGGAACAAAGACAATAGATTTGTTCTAGATTCTATAATTAGCCACATCCAAACAATACTTTTATCCTAAAACACCATTTTGATTAACAGCTTTTCACACAGGACTCAGCCTTCCAACACAAATTGCTACATTAGAACAGAGCATTGGTGCTTCCCCTCTCACATGCTGGTTTTGTTAGCAACCACTGTTTTGGGCTTCAAAGGAAAATGAAGAACCTTTGTCATAAACCAGATGAATCCTGTGATGTTATAAATGGGCAAGTTGAAAGCATGCTTGCTAGTCTGTTTTTCCCCCTCCTACCTTCCACTGATTGGTATTTTATGCTGCAATGCACAGGCAGGAGGACATGCACCCCTCTCACAAACCTCTGGTTTAAATCAGGAAAAGGATTTAATGTTTTTTAATGTTTTAATGTTTTTAACACATTGCTTCAGATTTCAAAGCTTTAATGTAAACTGAAGTTGTTTCAACATTTTAGTCAGTAAAGATACTATCATTCATTGAACATGTTAAAACTGTGATTTGCCTACCTTGAGATTTTGAGATGTGTAAGTTAACCTCCATAAGCATGCAAACCCCATGTTTTCTATGGGGCAGACAGACTGACAGAACTGATGATAGCTCTTTAAGGAAAAATAGAGGCCCTGGCTGTTTCTTGGATTTACCACTTGAGATATTTACTTTAAAGAGGGTTTGGGATTTAATTTGTTGAAAACTGTTCACTTACTAAAACCAAAGGGATGTCCTTGACTTCAGAAATGTGCATTTGCTGTCTTTAAAAAAATCTTAATGCTCATTAAAAGTTGAATTTTCCAATTACTTGTACAGTCTTCCTCTGATTTAGGAGCTCAATTTGCAAAACAAGGGAATACTGACTTAAATCTTCCTGAAGTCATAAGCATGCCAAAAAATCCCATGATTCACTTTATGATTTCCCAATCATTTGCAGTTTTCTCAATTGCTGCTAATAAAAGTGAAAAGAACCCAAAAGGAAGTTCTTTCACTGGAAGGTTTGTTTAGAGAGACTGACGTTATGATTTTACCTTGAAAACCTCTACAATACTTTGTCCCAGCCTAGCAAAAGGAAATTGATGTGTAGAATTAAGGAAGTAACCCTGTGGAAAAATAAATCTATTGTTACTTTCTTTACGGTAAGAATTAACTAGTGTTTGCAGGAGCATCCTAGATAAGAACAAAGAACTGATTCCTGCTTTTATGAAAGGAAAGCCTTTTCCTTATTTAAGCTTTCTCAAAACAATGTGGACTTCAGCAATGATAGCAATGTGTTTTACAAAAACATAACTCAGAACTTTCCTGAACCAGTTCTTTCCTGGACTATAGCTTGCAGGTGGGGTGTTTCAAAACTTCCACAATAGAAATACACCGTTAAGAATCCAGTTTAAGTTCCGTTCAACACACAAGCCATTTACAGTGGTCAGAACCACACAAACAATGCTGTAAAGGTACGTGTACGAGTAATAAATTGCTTGTTAGTCACTTGAATTACTCTCACTGGGAGGATTATGCAATTACAGTTCTTAATAAAAATGCTGTTGCTTCATTTAATTCAAATACACTATTCAACACAATGTTCAATAGAGTATTAAGAGTAACATCCCATAGCTGCCAGTTTGGATAGCACAGATGGCTTTTTTTGCATGCTAAACACAGGGGAGTCCTCATTTTAAATATGTGATTCAGGCTCCTTGGTAAGAATAATGACACTCTTGCCTGAGAAGCCCAAGTTACAGTTTTAATACTTCCATTTTGTCATCTGGATTGAGCACATTGAAAAATTGCACCACGTGCAGTCTCTGTTCACCTGGTAACTACTGCCCTTTCTTCTCCTTCCCAGTGTTCTGTGTATACTATGTGACTAGAGGAATCCTGCAGGAGAATCGCCAGGAGCTCATCGTCTTTGTTCTTTCCATCCTGCTAGTGATGTTTCGGTCCATTGTCAACTTCACAGTTCTCTCTGCTGAGCAAAAGCCAAAACTCCTGGTTAGTCTCCTTCTTTCAATTAACTTTTCTCCACTTTCTGGGTTTGAAAATCTTAGAAAAGCGAGATACATGATAATATAAAAATCAGGCTGAATTATTCCTATCACTGAGTAACAAAATGTGCACTCCCACAATTGCAACTCTGTTTCTCTGATCTATTCTATGGGCTTCTTTATGACAGTATCTGAAAGTAGCATAAATGTCAAATAATTTACTCACTGCATGGCCAGTCACATCCTTATTTGTCTCTCCCATAAGGCCCGCTTCATTCTGATCCTCCTGGTTGGCTCCTTTGATGTGATCTGTGCCATCATCCTCATCCAGAGTCAAAGCATGATGGCCTTTCGAGTAGGGGGTGCTCTAGAAAGCCTACAGTCACAATACTTCATGATGAACCTCTGCTTTTCTATGTTGACCTTTGATCTTCAGGCACAGGTACAGATCTCTCTCCCCCGGGTTCTCTTCTCTCCTGTTGAGAATATCTTAAGACTGCCTAGTTTGTGTCAGATATTTTTTTGATGGGCTGTATGGTCTCAAACCAGTAATTTTACCAAATCCTTGCCTCTTCTCCTTCAGCTCTGCTTGTGTGTTCTTCTGATAAGCCTGCATGAGATCACCCTTCTACATAACATCATCTCAGCAACAGGGGTTCTTTGGGCCTGCCTGAAGGTGTCCATCAGCATCATCGCAGTAAGTGTTAAGTTAACAGCAACACTAGCAAGTCAACAGTCAGCTCCTGAGACTGCTACACCCTGAGCAATTATCACAGGCTGGGAAGGCACAGCCATCCCATTCTACATAACACTGCTAACTGGAAGGGCTCCAGAATGGATCCCAGCAGAAAACAAGAGCACCAACAATAATGAAGTCAGGTTTCTTATAAATCTGTTTCTCTCACGTAAGCATACAGGCTGAAAGATCACACTGTCATCATTCCTTTCTCAGGGACATTGTTTTATTCTCAGTCCTTGATCACCTACTTTAATGAAACCTGTGGGATCACAGTGTCTTCAATATTTCTACCTGTCTGACAAGATTAGGTGAAACTGCCAACACTCCTCCAAGTTGTTAAGAAGATGGATATACAGACACAGTGAGACTGCACAGGCCTTACATCCTTAGGAAACCTGATCAAAAAGATGAGTGGTCTTTTACTGGGGCAGCTTCTTTCAAGGTCAGTGACAGTTTTCAGGTTAACATAAGGATTTCTTCTGCCAGTCAGACAACTTCCTCTGATACCTTGAGAACTCTGTTCCAAGAGTGATTGCAGAAGCAGGGGCAAAGTACATCAGATATGTCAGTCTTTTATTACCAGGAAGGAGTTTAGGGGGATTGGGGGTTTGTTGGTTTGTTTTAGGCTCCTGGAGTATTTGCTTTAACCATTCAGGTAAATTGCTGACTTTGATGGCTTTTCTTGCTAAAAATGGAGATAGCACCAAGCACTGAGCTTTTCAAATACATTGGTAATGTTAGGCTCCTTGTATACTTTTGTGAAGCACTGGAGCTTTGCTTTCAGTTAAATTGTAGCGTGTGTGGACAGAAGGGAGGAATCAGAACCAGGTCTATTTTCCTGCTAGGATTAAAATGTAAACCTTTCAGCTACTTTTCTTCCACCATCAGAAACAAAGTTGATCTGACCAGTTGCTATTCACAAATTCTTTGCTTTGCCTTGATTTGCTTTCAGGTATTAAAAGAGACACTTTCTTTAAAGAAAGAGGTGCTTAGTTACGTAGTCTTCTGTTTTAACATATTAGATATTCCTTATGCAATAGGAAACATATTTCTTAATAGTTCAAGTAGTAAATGTCCTAGGGATAAGTACATGTTCTTGCCCTTTGCTCAAAACCGCCCATGTTAGAACCACTTGAAAGCTACTTTTTACCCTGTCTAGGTACATTACTCATTTATCTTCTGGAAGAAGTTAACAGCTTCATGTCTAATTAGAAATAGGAAGTGCATAATTATTAAATACAGCATTAAATTAGTGGCAGCGCCGCGGGGCAGCAGGAACTTCATGACTTTCATGAAAGTCTAGTAGCTTAGCAGCCAAGGTAAAAAAGATTCTGTCTCAGACTAGAGAATGTAGACAGCTTGACAGAGGGGTGACAATAAGAACTCCTTTTCCTTACTCTGTTCAGACAAGTTTTCCACAATTAGCTCCTTGCAGGTGATGCAGCAGTAAAGAAACACACATTGTGGTCTATTTTGGTGCTCTCAGAAGCTGCACCTGCTGTGAGGTTATTGGGTAAGAAAGTTATGAACATATACATAATCCACCAGAAAATATAAGCATAACAGAAGGGAAAACTTGGGAATGCCTCATACCCAGTTGTTTCTGGTACCTGCAGTACCTGAAAGCAGAGCTAAACCTCATGTGCCCTTATTTCTGAGTTGATGCCATTTCACAAGTGGATTATTTAATATTTTTAATTCTATTTATGTATGTGCTCGCCCATTTACGTTAGTGGATTTTCCTATCTCCATTATTTCTCTTTCTTCTCCTATTAATTACTAATTCTCTCTTTCCTCCTCTTGTTTCTCAGCCTTTATTTTTACTTTCCCTTTTGGTCTTATCCTAAGAGGGGCACTATGCAGTACCACAGAAAATGGGAAATAGTAGTAGAGGTGGCAGAGAACAAACTCCTTTATGGGAGGGATAATTCCCTTGATGCTTTTGTAGAAGTTTGCATCTTGACCATTGCAGAAGAATCAGTACTGGTCTAGGGGGGAATCTGTGATTGATCAGATACATCAAATCTTATCATAGCAGTGGTGCTGTCACTGCTTTCATTCCCAGTGACTCAGCTGGTTTTCTTTCCTTTGTTCAGACTTGCCCTTCCAGTTTAGGAGAGCTGCAAGCTGCTACCTGCAGGAAGGTCCCAAGCTTTGTTGTGAAACAAAGTTTTCCTGACAGTTAAATCCTCTTGCTTCTCCCACATTTGGTTCTCAGTGACTTCTCTGTGGTAGAAACAAAGGTGGAGAAAAAAGTCATAGAGGACTTTCAGTCTGTTAGCGATGAAAATGTTAGTTTGTTGAAGTCTGAGCAAATCCAAATTATGAGTACATCAGTGGAAAACAGAGACCACATTTCCTGCTGCAAACATAGGTAAAGAAGGCAAGTGGAGAGCAAAGTTGTAACTGAGAGCTCAGCTAGACCAACACTTCAAATGCTATTGAAAAATCAACTATATGTAGCCTTATAGAGCATATAGCAAGTTATAAACCTGTATGTACTTCATCTTATTTTACAGATTTTAAAAGAACTGAAGCCTCTAGTGTGGATTTTTCTGACTCAGAACATACCTGAAGTAGCTTTTCTCATCTACCTGCTTTACACGGTAATTCATCCAACTTACTTGCTCAATAATGAGAAGCAAGGCTCAGGCCTCTTCATTACTGCATGTTCTACCTCTTCAGGATCAGCTTTTCAACACAGGAACCAGGCCAAAGTGCTCTTGAACAGATTAGTCAGAGGGAGAGGCTCTGGAAGTCTCTGCAACTGGCAAAGTGTCCAGAATGATTAGGGAAAGATACCACAAGATCTTCCAGTAGAAGATACATAGCTCCTAAAAAACGCCTCCTCTCCTTCACAAGAGGTCTGAAGTGGTGCCAGAGCATCTGACCATCTGCAGGGCCTCAAGTCATTATATTTGAAAGAATTTCTTAGGCAGCATCTCCAGTTCTCCATCCTGATTGTAGCCAAAACAAAAGACAGTGTAAGCCAAACAAACTCCAGTGTTAGGCATTTTTTTGGCACTGTATTAGTGATAAAGCACTTATCATTAGGACACCCCAGCACCTCCCACAGCGCATAGGAAAGGAGGTAAGGAAAAAGGGCAAGGACAAGGCAGATTGTTCATTATGGCAAGGATTTGAGTGCTGAGAGGAGCCAATGTTTTTCATTCTTCACAGAAATAATCTCCAGATACTGATAAAAGTCCATCCAGTCCTTGGGGTTTTATTTATTGAAGGATGTAGTCAAATCAGGCTCTTCCAATTACTCATGTGCCTGTTTGATCTAGCAAAGCACAAAAGGACCACACTCTGTCTTTGATGGCTATATATGTACTGCAGTTAGGAAGAAAAGTACAGAGGATGGCTTCTGATATAAGAATAACATAACAACTTGAAAGTAGCTCAGTCTCCTTCCTTTTTTGCATGATAATGAACACACAAGAGTGACCAGCAAATGAGGACATGGACATGCAATGCAATACTTCTCTGTGCTAGATCTGTAATATAGTCACTTCTCCAAACCCAGTTATTTTAGCATCTTGATTTGGGGTACACTGTTAGGTTTGCTAACAGATCAAAGGAGTCAGAACTGGGGTTTTTTAAAATCTCATCCTGATAATCACTAACCCTGTTGGAGCAGTGATCCTTCTTCAATGCAGCAGATAGCTGCAGGATATAAATATTGTTGCTTTTAATTAAAATTTGCCATTTTCTCTGTGTTGGATCACAGGTGAGGCAATTACTAACATCATAAGCACAGTAATCAGGCCAGCAGGGAATGAAAACGGGATCATGAAGCTTTCCACCCCAGACACACATGACAATAATAGTACAATGACAGCTAGGGAACATAACTCCATTCTGTATTTTACAGCAGAAACAAACTGAGATGTAAGATGAAGTCTGGTTTCTTTATCTCCAGTTTAACTGCTTGTTCAATCTGGGCACAATACTGTTTCATATGACTTCAGTGATGCAGAGGTATAATGCATTTAGCCTGCCGGTTTGCAGCCAGGGAATCATGTCATCAGGAAAGCAAGATGGTTTAAAAGTGATTGGGTTTCCCCCCCCCCCAGATACTATCTAGTGACTCCTTTCACAGATTTAGGGTTGATCGCATTTTATGGCTTCAAGGTTTTGTGGCACTAGGTGTTAATTGCTGTATGTCTCTGTTTTCCTGCAGGTGATAAGAGAATGGGGCAAAGGGAATTCATACACCCTAGAAGCTGCTTTCATTATCGGCTCTTTCATTTCTGTTGCAATAAAATCCGTTTTGTTTTGGGCACTGGTTCATGTCTACCGCAGCTTTGGGCAGGGGCTGAGAGAAAGAAGTAAGTACTTAAAAGTTTCACTTCACTATGAAGATTAAGTAGAGCTTGTTGAGCCAGGAAAATAGAGATAATCGCAACAAGGCAGATCCCTAATATCAGTTACTAGTGCAGCCTTAAAATTTACTGGTGTGACAAAGTTCAGAAGCTTGGATGAAATGTATGTGATTTCTCCCTGAAGAAAACTGGTATAGTCAACCTATGCAAGAACTGCTGCTAACCAGGAAAAAAAGACCTGTGTGGAAAAATCCCTTCTATGTAAGATATATATAATTTTTCTTCTTTATCACACTGTAAAATTAACTGCCTTACAATAATGAAAAGAGAGATAGTAAAGTGACCTAGAAATCCACTATTAAACTACACAAACCTTTTACATGAAGGACATAAATGCTGCTAGGCACTGGTTCTTGACTGATCTTCTTTCTTCCCACAGTGTTTTCTTCCTATGGAAGGATCGACTCCTGAGCATCCCCCTTGTGTCCTATCTGCAGCTCTTACAGAGTGAAATCACAGGGGAAGGTCTGATCGAGTACTTGCATTTGGAATGTAAGACAATGGGTCTCTTTCACAGAGATAGAGGAAGTTGCTCAGAAAAATGTCTATACATTTCTTGGTTCATATTGTGCTATGGAACTTTAACAGTGCAGCTGGTAACTTAGTTTAAAAAGCAAAGTGCTCTCGGGAAATTAACACTAATCCTCTCAATTCAGCGAGTTCTGCTGACAGGACAATGCATCTTTCACTCCTTGTTTTCCTGACGTTGCTTTGTAACCACAGGAGGTTCACAACATGCATGTGAGTAGAGACTGATGTTAATATAAATGCTGTTTTCTGGATATACACAAACATAATGAAAATAATTTGCACACCATCTAACAGACCTGAGTCTGGAAGTGGATCGTCCTACCATCATTTCTTACCTCAGATCTGTTGCTGAGCAGAAGTCAAGCCCCAAAGCTGCTTTGGTGGCAGCTGTATTCCCTGACTCCACAGCTGCGTGATGGCTTAACCCCAACAGAATGGCTGGGGCTCTTCTTCCTCATCTGACTTCAGAATACTTATTTTTCTTAAATACCAGTTACACCTGAAAACTACCCAATGTAATCTCATGCCTCCCTATAGTGTATCTAACCAATGTGCCATTTCGTTCACCACTGTGACTGTTAAAATAAGCCTTTAATATTGTAATTTAAAAGTTTGGTATTTTATTCATTTGAACCTTTAGCTACTTACTGGCTGTCTATTTTTTAATAAAGTATAAGCACAGTTTGCACACGGATCATTGTATCTCCTAACAGCGTGAGTTCAGTGGGAAGCCTCTTTACAAACTGGGTGTGGAAGAGGATGGAAGAGCAATTGACATTGAACACTGCCATCACATTCCTCTTCACATACAGCTTTACTTTGCAGATACCTGTACACTGCAAAAAGTAGTTCAAATAGTTGATTGCAGTTTATTAAGGAAATTTACAAGGATTATCTCAAAATTTCTATTAAGAAAGTATTTTTCTCATCCGTGTCTCTAAACCTGAAACAGATCTACTTTATAGATAGCACAGTGGAGGTGTGAAGAGGTTAAATGTCTATGGTCAGGCTGCACACTGCTGATGTCAAAAGAAAGCACCAGAGCACCAGCTAATGACTGTGACTTCATTCCACAAATCAAAATGTGACTATGAATTGTTACTGAAATGAAGGAATGCAATTAAAAGTATAGTCAGTCCTTGTCCAAAGCAAGCAAACGTGTCTTCCCTAGAGCAGGACCAGTAAGGGAACACTTTGATCTTGTATTAAGCCTGTATTTAGCCAAAATTAGCTGAAGAAAGCAAGGTTGTGCTACGCTTTTTATCTTCATAGTAAAGAGATGTCAGAAACAATCATTAAAAGGAAGAAGGCTGAGATTACATTCAAACATTTATCTCCTCAAAAGCAGAAATGGATTGTTATATCTTGAAGAATTAACCTTCATATCTTCACAGAGAAGTATTCTTACTCCTGACTAAAGCCTTGTTTAGTTCCTGTGGAAATCTGCCTGTTCTTTTCACAAGGTCCTGACTTTAACACTTCTGCAGATAAGAGCTACTAGGCTCAATCTGTTAAAGCTTCCTGATACACAACATGCACACAGTATCTTTGGCCTACTCTGAATTAAAGCACTTGATTTTTTGTTCAGCCACTCTAATGCTAGATGTACACAGTCATTAAAGCAACTGGTTCAAGCAACCAACTTCACATTTTCTATTAAGAAAATCAGAAGACTCATAAGAAGACTCAATCACAATCATTAGCCAGAAGTTTCATGGAAGAAGTGTCTAGAACTTGGTCACAATGTGCAGAGGGGCAAGGGTTACAGTGGGCATTTAAATTCTGGTTTCAATCTTAAAATACTGGGCATCCAAATATTCAAAAGATTATTGCAGATTACCGCCCTTACCTCTTTCTTTCCTCTTTTTTCTACTCTTGGGCCTTCAAACAAGCAGTTAGTGTAGCCCAGCTGGTTCTACAGAAGATTTGGGTTAGCTGGCACAGCAAATCCAGCTTTTATTTTGAAACTTTGGACAAAAGACTGGTATCAGACATGTACATTCAAAAAGCCTTAGGTGTATTCCTAGAAAACAAAAGCTCCTCTCCCCCGAGGCAATGTACCACCCCCCCCCACGTTTCCCTTCCAAGCAAGTAATTCCCTCATTTTATACTCTCAACAGTCAAAGTGCTGCTTTACAAATCCAACTTTACAAAAAGATTTTATTGAAAGGATTGAAAAATATTTGTTTTCAACAATATTTAAAACAAGTTTTCAAAGCATTAACAATATGTAACAGGATTTTTACCTCTTAAAAATTCAGTACACTGCTTTATTCCACACTACATCAGTTGTTAGTAACTTCTGAAACTCTCTAGTAGAGAATAACTTCTTAAAGGGAAGAAACCCCAAATTATTTTCCCAGCTTCCACTTTGACCCTTTGTAGACTGGAAAGGATTTGCAGGTATAGTGACATTTACAAACCCTTAGAAACACAGCTCTTAATCAGCAAACCCCTATGTTACCAGTACAGTTTAAACAAGTTACTTTGAGTAAGCTACATCTGCAAAATGAGCTTTTATTGCCAATATAACCAAGTCTGCATTACAGCTGTTTTTTTTCCTGGTTGTGCTGTGGTTTGCACAGATATTACTCACACTTGTTCAATATGCACAACTTGGGTGCTGTTTAAACCCCACTAGCCTGCTTGTGAGCTGCTGGTTTGCAGATTAAAGGCCTCAAAAAGGGACTTTGTACAGTTAGATAAATCTGTAATGTATTAACACAATTTGGGTTGTGTTTTGATATAAAGCAGCTAGTACAATTAGAATCAACACAGCTTTTTGAAGAAAAAGCAAAGACTAAAGTCATCGTGTGACTTTCTTTCCTTTAGTGGGCGACCGTAGCTCTCTGCTTGGCGGATCAATGATCCAAATAACATTGCTATCGAGCAGGAAGAGTTGTACAAGCAAAACTGCAGAAGCCTCAAAGCCAGTGATGCAATTGCAGTACATGATAAATTTAAAGACAACTCCTAATCTAGATCTAATCTAGAGAAAATAGTTAGGTAAGTTGTGATTACAGATTTCATGAAGTATGCACTCTGAAAATCAAAGTTCGGCAATTTAGTCAATAATAGCTTTACTATTATAAAAAGCATAAATAAAAAGTGCTGAATATAATTTTATCTTTAAAAAAATACTAGATAAGGCTCATTAACCATTTCGCCTCACCTCCGCAAAATGATTTCCACTTCCTAGTGTGCCTGCTATCCCACTTAACAATACCTCTACCTAGCCACCATACCCTGTTCCTTTTCTCAATTATTGCATGTTTAAATAAAATAGTTTCAAAGCAAAAAGTCTGACACTTCTATAGTTCAAAAAGTAAACAGTTATTTAATAACTGAATACTTCGCCTAGGAAACCCGTAAGCAGCTTCAAAACAGTGATAAAACAATGACTGCAGATTCAAGTGAAAGAGAAATCCCAAAAGCTATCTGGATATTCTTCCAAGATAGCACAGAATTCATCTATTTAGACCAAATCAAACCAATATTCTATTTTACAAAATTTACAAACTGAGTATTCATTTATATTAACACATTTTTCATTGTGATTCGTATCGTTAATGGAGAGTTTTGTTTCTCTTTTATGGAAAAGTGCTCTCACCTGGATTTAGCAAAATCAGACAAACTGGGGCAGCATCCAAAATGGAAGAGACATTATTTAAACCATCAGAGGACAGCAGGTTAGGCAGAGTTTGGAAATGAATACATTTCCCATTACCACTTTGGACCACATGAACAAGGTAAGACAATCATGAAAAGTTCTCACTCCACTTTCAAGGAAATCCCACCTTAATCAGTAAATTAATTCCTCCACAGTATTATGCCACAGGCTTAGATTTAACAGATAATGTCCATTCCTTTAATGACCAATGCAGCAAGACGTTGAAAATGCTGAAGTTTGAATAGTATGATCATAAGACTGCACCAACAGAGAACATAAATGTAAACATTATAGTTGGGTTTGATGTTTTTCAGTTATAGTACAGTACAAACCCTTTATTCCCAACTAGATTTTCTGTTGGGTTTTTTCTTTCATAAAAGCACATACAATAAAATATGTACATGGAGAAGTTAGAAACATTTGAAAGCATCTTATAAAAGTAAATACGAGACTTAGAATATCTTGAGTGTGCTGAAGGCACCGTTGCTACTCTACTGGGAATGTGTCCTCTCATTTATCTACCTGCCTATCAATGCAGCATCCCTTTCTCTATTACTCAGCACCAAGAGCAGGAAGGTATCTATGGAAGTTGAGGGCATTCAGGGCCTAGTATAGGATACTCTTTATTTAAGACAGTAGTGAAACCAGACAAGATAGTAGTAATTGAAGTCCAGATTCTTCTTGAACATTTGGAGAATTGGGTTTTTGTGATTTTATAGTCTCTGATGCTACTGTGTATTCCAGAGAATCAAACAATGTTAAGAAAAACCAACACACTGATGATTCCCACCAACAGGAACTGCAGAGCTATAAACTAGCTCAGCTACAGAAATGGAGATCACTGTAATCATCAACTCAGCTCACACTAATGCTTGCCCATGCTATTTGTTGGCAGCCCAGGGTCAAACGCTGTTCAAATGGAAGAAACACATATGTATATATATTTAAAAAAAAAATACTTTTTTTTTTTTACTTAACTAATTCCATCTATTAATAAAAAAAAGCATTCTTCATGGGTGTTTCTTCACAGTGTGTCACATTTGCAGGTAAGGAGAAAGTATTTTAAGCACTGTGTTGATGGGGAGCTGTTCTGGGCAAGATGTATTTAAGCTAACAAAGAGGAGTTTCTTTTTTCTCTTCAAGAAAATTTCTTAGAGCCTTTATATGCATAGCACTCTTAAATAGAATTACGAATGTACCAAATGAAACAGAGTATTTTAATGCCACTTTTCTACTGCCACTTTTCTATTATGTATCTACATTCAGCCTACCATGTTACTGGTAAGTTACAGGTTACAATCAAATCTACAGATGCAGTTGTCAATACCAATCAGAAAGAATCAATCTTCAGATTGCTCATTTGAAGGAAATTCACACTGGATTACAACAATCAGAGCCTAATTTCTTCCATTTCTACTCTTGGTGGACAGGAGTAGCACAATAATTTCCAGCCATCAGCAGATTAGACCAATATAAACTATAATCACTATATATGTCTGAGATGGTGACCACACTTGTTAGCCAAAAACCTTAAGATCCAAGCATATAGAAGGGATACTGCCACTTTCCATTCCCATGAGTCTTGTTAGATGTAGACACTCAAAATTCTTCTTCTTCAACAGCAAAGTTATTTTGCTTCTTCCGAACATTCCAGTGTAAACACTCAGCCAAGCTTTCAAACCAGTCGCTCACAGGATCTCGGAAACAGATCGAAGGAAGGGGATAGCAAGAGGTAGTGATGCTAATACTGCAACAACACAGGAACACCCCAGTCAGTCAAGGGCAATCAATAGCATTTGTTCAAAAAATAATCTTCAAATCACTAGCTAACACAGTGCTAGGCTCAGCCAAGTTGGTAAAGCAGCAAGTTTCCATAACCGAGCAATAACTAAGCCTGCAGCCTCATCTAAAGAGCTTCAAATGGTTAACAGATGCACCGTGGACAGCATTCTTTCACACAGTGAGAATACTGAACCCACTCCATGACATCCTGCAGTCTCTTGCTGGTCTTTACACCAACAATACAGGGACAAAGGAAAAATGTATGTTGCCACCACAGCCTTTAAGTTTCCACTAAAAGCAACAGCATGAAGTCTAACACCTACCAAAGGGACAGAGCTCATGTTTAAATCGTTTCTAGTCTCCTGATCTGTAGGTCTTTCAACATCAGAGGAAATACAAACAGCTCAAGATGGGGTGTCACGCCAGCTATACGTTTTCCTTTCTAGCAACTTGTATGGACCAAGAGCAACAAGTCATCCTGAACAGCAAGTCTACAGTCACAACTCAGTTGCCCTAAATCACCTCCTATTAGGATAAGCCACCATATTTTGCACATAAAAACTGAGGAAACGTCACCCACTGCATTCTGCTCACTCAAGGCAATAGCATTCTGCTCACTCAAGGCAATAGCATCCCAAGTGACCACAACCATTCACTAAGTTCACACAGTTTAAGCCATGTGGCATTATTCAGAGCCACTGCTTACAATGCAACTCCTGTTGGTTTATACCTTATGTTAAGTATACAGAATTTTCTAAAGACATGTCATCTTCCTTGCTAAGCACGCAATGTTTATGTGCTTTTATCTTAACACTTCACTTGCTTTCATAGGCAGATCTAAAAAACTTGTTGAAATGAAATACTTTTCCTGCGGTTTCTGCTGTAAGAGGTGTTAGGGTTTATAAAAGCTTGTTTCTTCACTGTCAGCAACACTTTTGACATGTTAGGCAATGAGAGAAGTGCATGAATCATTATTTTATATACTTCTAGAGAAATGCTACAATCAAAAAAAAAAAAAAGCCTGACCTGTCTCCATGGCATATTTCCTGCCTCTTCCTTCCATCAAATGAAACCCACGCTGTATTCCTGGCATCTGGGGAGAGCATAATCTGAAAACGAGAAAAAGAACTAAACTTCAGGTCCAAACCCTATTTTTCAGGGGCAAGGAACAAAAAGCTCCACCATCCTCTCTCTTCAGTGGAGAACTGACTCTCCATAACATTACAGTTGCACTGATATTGGTAATCTGTCCATAATAAATGTACAGTGACATGCCACACAAGTTCCAAATCTTCATTTTATGTTTGGTATATATATACATAAGTTTTCTACATGCAATAAACCTCCTTTTACAAGTACAAGGTCATAAACCAGAAAAACCTTTCAGTTACAACCAGTGCACACTTTAATGCAGTTGCATGAGATAATTTAGCATCTCTTTCAACAAAAATAATAAAGTTAATCCAGAAAAATACAGTTTAGTACATAGTGAATCCAAACCTGCCAAATTCAGGAAGTTTTGCTCACATTTAATATACATGCCCAGGAAGAGAAAAGAATTGACTAATATGGGCCAGTATCACCCACTGACATGAAAGTAATTGCAGACAGAGCAGTGCCATGAATAAACAGTTGATTTATGTTGTAAAGCCCCAGTGCACACTTGTTTCTTAATGCTAATCTTCTAATATCCCTGGAGGAGTGCTTCTAAGCACACTACCTCTCTTCCAACTTAAATAGACTGAAGGCTTGTAACAGATCCAAGCAGCAGCAAAGGTTTCTTTCTTACACATAGGTATTTGTTAAAAACACACATTAAGTCCATTTCATATTCAGGTAATATATGCCTTTTTTTCTGCAAGACAGCATTAAAAATAATTAATCAATTACAGATAACTCTACCAATATACTCAAAATCTGCAATATTTGCTGGTTTAGCCATGAAAGTAGAATTCTTCATTCCCTTAAGCACTCATTTACATACACGTTAGCTGAAATGACATAAAATTTTTACGGTCAGCATGCTAACGTATGCACTCCCATTTTGCAGAATGTTACACAACTACAGTCCAGTAGGAAGCAGTGTGAAGTATTCTGCTAGTGGGTATATTGTTTTAAACAAAGATGCATTCTTCAACCAGACTTGATCTGATCCTCCTACAAATGAAAGAATGTGGGAGATACACGGCATTTCCTGACCTCTTCTGCTTTGGCCTGGTTCATGTAGTTATTACAGAAGTTTTTAACTTAGGAAGAGACATAATGTAACAGAAGCTAACCTTGAGTTCCACTCCAGCAGGAACAACAATAGGTCTGAAAGACAATGAGTGAGGGCAGATTGGGGTGATCATTATTGCAGGAACATTGGGATGAATCATAGAAGCTCCTGCTGCAGCTGCGTACGCAGTGCTACCAGTCGGCGTGGAGACAATGACTCCTGTGAAAGGAGCAAAAATTTCACTTAGATCAGCATTACAATCAATGTGTTACTTTGGAAGATAACTAAGAAATAGCACTGTTATGAAAAAGAAGCACAGAACATATCAGCTTGTATTTCACAGGAGAATTGCAGCCTAATACTCAAAAAGTCAGCAGCTCTCCTCTAATCCCGACAAAGCAGGTTGGTTCTATGGCTTCATATAAGTTGCATAAACATCTAGATCTCAGGTTACGTAACTTTGTAACAGTGACATTCATTTGCTTTCAGGGTAAGAGTTCTAAAGAACAGCTTTTGTATTTCATGAAACTGTTGCTTGCCTTCACAAGTCCATAAACAAAGCTTACAACACTTTGCTGTGGAATGCTACCAGTGAATACACACACCTATTCATTGCACACTGATTTCTGTCACCAGAGAACTGAAGCTTCAGACTTTGTTTCCATATGAGAAAATCCTCCAGTAAAATAGCAACAGTCCACACATGAACTGTTAAGCAATTTAACTCAAGAAGCAGACTCACCATCTCCTTGCACTGTTGTTATCAGGTGCCCATCAAGAAAGACATCTACGTTGGAAAGGTAAGATGAAGGACCACGATCCACTACAACTTCATTTAGGACCTGCCATGACATCAAACATTACACCAGTCCATTATTGCTGACTTGGCAATATAAAAAATAACAAACTGAAACATGCTTTCCAGATCTTTGAAAGAATCATGCTGATTTAGTCCTTGCCAAATTAGACTCTCTTTACACCTCTGCCTTATCAAGTGCCAGCTGAAGTTTTTAGATGTCAAGATTTATTTCCAGAAGCTGGTTACCAACAATGTGCAGGGCTTTGCTTTCCACTTACACAAATCTTTAGAATATCCCATTTTAGAACTCCTACTTTGTTTACAAAATAGAAGGAAAGTATTACTCCAGGAAAATACAATATTAGCGCTTATGATTGCAGAAAGTAGCAATGTACACCACTTCCTCATTATTTAGTGCCCATATTTTGAATCAGAGCAACATGGATCAGTCCCACACCACTGAGCTAATGTAAGTAAATTATTGAAAGGGGGAAGGCTGTAATAAAATAAGTACAAAGCAGTTTACAAACACTTCATTAGTTCTTTCGCCCGTTTTCCCCTCTGACCTGATATTGCATAACTTGCTTGCCCACTTCTTTCTCTATATTTGTAGACACTACTCCATTTTCTTCTATGCCATTTTGTACTGTCATTTTCTCTCTGTGCTCTTTAACTACTTTCACTTTCAGCCTGCTTCGTAGAACAAGGGCTGCATTGCCTAGAAGTGAAATAGAGGAAAAAGTACACAAAACCAATAGGCTGGTACAATAAATATAACCCTGTAATGACTAACAAACTGTATGAAATGCCATCACCCATTGCCCAACATTCCCAGTTTCATTTGCAAGACAATTGTCTACACTTGGTTAAAGCTCTAAACTATTTTTTAGTATTAATGAACAGAATGAAAGTCAAATTTGAACTCAGTCTTTCTTCCCTTTCCTCTTGAAAGTTTTATGTGGACACGATCAAGATTGGAAAACAATGTTAAGCTTACATGACCTTCACAAAGACAAAAGCTAAGCTTAAGGAAAATGCATTAACAATAACTATTAAAAGACAATATTCTAGCAATGTGAGAATTTTCTATCTCTTCTCAGGAATCCAGTTTGGATTCACCTCAGTATTGAAGAAATGAAGTATTTTTCGACTCAAGTATTTTATTTGCCCCACTTCTCAGTGAACAGACTTCATAGTTACCCTCTATTTGTATGTTTAGCTGCAATTTAAGGTAAATTCTGCACTACCTTATACTCATTTCCCCCCAAACAACAAAGTAATTTCTTTGCCATTTTCCATTACAAAATAGTATGGAAAGCAGCACTGGATGAGTCAATGCAATGCAATACTTCTGTCAGTTTAATATATATTTCTTGAGATTCAGTCTTATGGGACAACCTAAATGAGTTAGTTAAGAAAATTTACTAGCCTTGGGAAAAGCTATAGAAAACATAACAAACAAACACCACAACTTGTCCCCTTCAATTTACCTTCTATAACCTGAGTGACTTGGGACTGAAAATTCTCAAAATTAAATGGAGTAAGAAATCCAAGGGATCCCAGATGAAAAGCCATAACTGGAGGTACACTACCCTATCAATAAAGAAAAGAATTTAAAAGCCTCTGAATAAAAGCATTTCATACTTCAACTAATTGCCTGTTAATATTTTGACTATTGATGTAACTTCAACTGTGCATAATAGAAACAACACAAGTACATATATTATTTTCAGAATATATAGGGTAAACCAGGCTTGATTAAAAAACGGAATGAACAGCAAGGGACAAATCTGAACTCAAAAAAATCCCCAAACAAAAACCCCAACAACTTTCAAATACTTCAAGAAGAAAAGAGATCTTTAAGTCTATTTCCCAAAAAGACCAACCTGGAAAAGTGAAGAAGCGTAAAGCAAGGTCCCATCTCCTCCCAGGCATATGATAAAGTCTATCTGATTGGAGATATCATCATAATCTAGAAGCAACATTGAAATCCAAGTTCTTAATTAAGTTTTATCAACAGTCGTAATTTCCTACCATAAATTAAGTGCAGCATGCCAACATTCACTCAAGTATAAAAAAACCCAACTGAAACTAATAATAGCAGACCACAAGACACTTTAGTTTAACAAACTTAACCCAACCAGTAAGGAAATAAGGACAAATAAGCACCATACTTCAGCTCTACTTTCAAGAAATCATTACTATACCTTCTCTGAAGGTGCAAAATTTCTTCTTCACTGGTCCAAAATTCTCATCATTAGCTATAGCGGGGTCTTCCAATACTTTTTTTTCTACATACACTATCATATTGTTCTCCTTAAGAAAAGTAAAAGAAGCTTGTTAATAACCTCTTAAAACGATAAAATATTTTGACTCTCCCTGTAATTTCCATTAGTTTCAAACATATAAATAATATTTTACAGGAGAGGTCTGCATCTGCTGGTTGGGGTTTTATTTCTAATGAGTGGTCAATTCTAATGATAGTTTTGCAGCACACAAATCACCTAATTAAACTTTGGAACACAGATTACATGATACAGTAACGTTGCTATGTTTGTTCAGGGCTTAAAGGATTAAGCTTTTTCTATCCCTTTCCCTGCAACTCAGAACTGAAAATAGAATGAAGGAAAGTTTTTACTTTACTTTTTTTTCCCCTTAAGCTCTTTACCTAAAGTACTTAAGTATTGATCTTAAACTCTGAAACAAGTTTTACTACTTTCAGTGCGAGTGAGTATAAAGATTGTTTGCACCGTGCAATTCTGTTCATTCCATATGCAACAAAATCAGTAACTGAAACCAGTTTAGGCTTTAAAGTACAGCAAAAATGGAATTTACATTTTATTACCTCAGTAAGATATACACAAAGCTCTTTAAAAGGCTGCAGCAGACTGGCATCACGGATCTTTTTAATAACAAGGACGCTCTTGGGAGGTTTGTTCCATGTCAACCGCTGGCTTGCTGGATCCTGAATGTGCCTAGAGAACAGAAAAATAAAGACAATGTTACTACAGTTTGCTTTGACAACATTCTGGTCTGTTAAGAATCTCTCTTTCAGTCTAATTGCCTGCAGTCCTAGGACAGAAAGAAGAATGCAATAGCTTGTATGCAATAAGCATCTGAATGCGGTAATCATTGTAATGATGTTTCTTCCCCCATGAAACCAATCAATGCTTTACTTTGTTAAGACAGTAACACAGTATTAAGGTGTCCATTCTGGTAACTGCTACCATGCTAACAGCACATGCAAAAAGGGTTGTTAACAGAAGCACTACAAAAGCTCTTGGATCTTCACAGTCTTCTCAATGCCTTTTGAAGCCTGTACATGTAGACCCAAATTCTACAGGTTTTCCCAACTAACACAGGAGAAGGGCAAACAATGAAGATTTTAGTACTGATCCCAAAAGGAGTTTATCCGCTTAAAGTAGCACAACTACTACTTTAAATGTTTTTAAAAATAAAGAATTAACTTTAAAAAGTATTTTAAGGCTACTGTCTGCCTGTTGTCAGACAGCTTTCTAAGACTTGAGAAGCTCAAGAACTAAACAAGTAATTTTGCAGCTTTCAAAAGAGTTCCGTAACAGCACCCTCAAGTTGTTCTATAACACACTTAGTTGCTTTAGGAATACCAAAAAAAAAGGGAAAATACAGCAGGGTATCTATTTCTAAGCTACCTAATTTCACAGTTGTATCTCACGTATAACAAGCATCCCACCATTTTCTACACAGTGCAGATATAGCCCATAAAAGCAAAGCACACTAGTTTAAATGCTGAGAAAGCCAAATTTACAGAGATTTGGATTTTGCACTGCAAGGGTTAAAATAAAACAGATGATGATGCCAGAGATGGAAAAAACAGTTCATTTTAGTTTCCAAACCTCCTATATTCTACATATAAATACAGCAGAAACTGTAGGTTAATGAAGTAGTTACTACCAATAACATTTACTATGGAACAATGCTACCTCTCCGTTCAAACAGAACACTCTGCCTACTCCAACTGTACTCACCAATTCCCCGTAGTTCTACTAAATGAAAGATTATTCATAACATGCTTTAAGATCTTCATGTTTCCTTCCAGGAGTTAGGCAAATGTAACAGCTCCAAGGAAAGAAAAAAAAAGGCCTTTCACGTATTAATAAAGTGCTACCTCAGAAGGAAATATTTCTCTCTGAAAATCTTTTTTCTTCCCAGTTAAATATTTCAGTCATTCCCAATAAAAAGTTGTGAGGCCCTACAGGAAAATCCTGTATAAAATGTTTATTACAGATCTTCAGAGGCAAGATTTCATAAGAAAAATTCCATTTCCAGGAAGAACTTAAAAACAGGCATTTGACCTCCCCCCTCCTCAAGAACACAAGCACTTGATTCTGTTTTCACTGGCTAGTCATTCAATTCACCTGGTCATCCTACAGAACAATCTTCTGAAAGCAGGCTTTTCAATACAATCATCGAGACCTTAAAAGAGACATCAAGACCTTCGCTAACTTACACCTGTACATAAAACCTGAATTTTCTATTAAAAAATATCTCTCCAGTGAAGAGAGTTTAATAATATTACTGTCTGTAGAGAATAAAAACCCAAACAAAAAGCTTTTAGAAGCCACAAGAAAAAAGCCCTTAGCTGTGGTAAGAATAATTCACAACTTGGTCTTCAAGCAGTTCTTTCCTTCAGTGATCTGAGATCATCCTCTACTCCCCAGCTTAAGCTTCTGAACACTGCTTAAGTAGTCCTTTCCCTGGCAGGGAGTGTGCACGAGTACTGCTCGCAGCCTCTGCGCTCAACTGATCTTGATACTATCATTTTATTGTACCAGGCTGACCCACCCTGTGGGGAGGAGCATCCGCATGGAATCAGACGGGTGAACGCGTGAGGCAAGCTGGGGTTTCAGATGAACCGCAGCACTCCAAGTCCTGACTTCAGAACAGACAGAAAGAATGAGGAAGCCCAGAGTTACTTCACACTGCATGATTTCTGCCACACCTTCAGAGGAAAAGCTGGGCTACCACCAACCTGTTTGGAGGAAGACTGCTACTAGCTGGGTAAGGATTTAGGCAAATAGATACTTAAATACTTTGTATTTAACTGGAAGAACAATGAAATACATCCTAGTAGGGACCACTAACTTGCTTAATCTGTAGAACCCCGACATATCTCGCCTGACCAAGACACCATTTATTAAGTATAAATACATGGTGTAAAAAGCAACACTTTTATGCCACCCAACTACAAGATTAAAATGTTTATATGCCTGCCAAGCAGAAAGCAACCCTTATTCTCACATTAAATTTATCAGCAGTCTAAAGGCAAATTTACCTTGACGATATTCATATGGCAAAAGTGCCATAGCTCGAATACACAAATTCAAACTACCAGCACTATTCACATGCCCTGCAGTGCTTGTGTGTGAAATGGTTATTATTTTTTTCTTCCAAAATAGAGATACTGTTTAGGTAGAACAGTGGGCATAAGAACACCACATGAATTAGTAATGTAAAACCAGCAAAATTAATTTCCTTTTATGTCTGTTACCCTGCAGGAAATATTCCAGCTGGCAAAACCACTACAAATCCATACAGAGAAACACTGCTTATGTCCCATCATCCCTTGGGAGGAAAAGTACCCGATGATATTCAAACCTTTATTATACTTTTCAGCCTGCAGATGAAGCTAACGCACATCTAACGGGGTTTTACTTGGGAGTACAGTTAGCAGTGCTACCCATTCTGCTCTTAGACTGACTTGTTAAAGGGTCAATGTGTGATAAACTGCCAATTTTGGCAATGCAGGACTCCAGCTGGCAATCAAGCAACGTGAAAACAGGTAAAACACAAACATGCTAATTAGGGGGTGAATAGTGTAAAAGCAAGCTTTTCTCTTTCACACAGAATAAGCATGAGGCCATTCATTTGATTACTTACATAATCGTTTTAGGATTTTGCAGCATACAGGCCTTTGGTCCAAATGTGGTCACTGGGCATGGTCCGTGCAAGGAACGTGTTCTCCTGCAGATACATATGCAAAAAAGATAATCAGTAAGTAAAAGAAATGTGATGGCAAACTGGGTATAATTAGCTCCCCAGTCACCAAGCCAAATCCTCAGATCACCAACTTCTTTGAAAAAAGCCACATTAAGCAATATAGGGCTAAGAACACATCTTAAACCTACATTTGTGGTTGACCAGGCAAGGTAATTTTACACATAATAACTCACACATTTCAAATCTAACATTTACCTCCCATTCCTACTCCTTGAGAGTGAATTTAATTGAAGCCCCGCAGTTTACATCCCCTCCACAGACTGAGTAATCACTTCCTAAATATTAGTTCCAGGCATATTCTTGTATTTGTTTCATCTTCACTTTGCACAAAGGAAGCATCACAGCCTCAGAGAAGATATGGTCAAGTTTTCTCGAGTTGGTTCTGCAAATTCATGTCAAGGTTCTATTTAGTTTCAGCTCTTCTGGACACTCAGTACAGAACAGTACATGCATCTCTCAGAGACCACAAAAACATGTAGATAAATTAGGTTTCCCAGTGTAAGTCTTGCCAAGCATTTACAATCTCCAAAAGCAAAACAACTCCTTCAGATGTTTTAGCCAGTCACACTAATGGTGTCCTGATCATGTAAATGCTTTTTCTGGTTATTTAAATCTTTGCACTTAATAAAATGCGTATCCTTCAATTCTAAGGTATATGGAGATATGCATCTGCAGCTCCAGGCCTTAGTTTTGAACAGACAGGAAAAAATGCTAACTTTTATCATTTATTTATCTAACACGATCTTGGTCTTCAAATAAACAGGAGCTCTGAAATGTCATTTATCCCCAAACATAAATCCCAGCCAGAACACAGGATTACTCCTAGCCCTAGGATGAGATTATCTGGAGCAAGTCAGAACTGTTCCGCCTTACTTCCCTCCCACCTCCTCCAGCCAATCTGTAAGCAGGAGTAAAACTTGCTCAAGTCATGGAACTGTTGAAATACTAGGTAAATGCTATTAGAATTATTCAGTTAAAAGGAAGGAGGAAATATGCCTTTCCTGTGCTTAATTCAATTAACACAGGAATTGGTAAATAACCTATTGCTTGGCGGTAACAAATCATTCCTGCACTGCCTTCTATTGTGTGTATCATAAAATAACTCAGACCAGCCTCATGATTCACTTTTAGTACTAAAAAAACCCTCAGAAATCTAATAAATGTCAAAACCAGATGACAGATTAAAAAAAATATAATTAAGGAGTAACAGCAACATCTTTGTTCTATGTCTAGTAAAATACGCAGAAGAGTTGAATTCCAGTAATGAAAATGAGTGTTTAATTTCCTATATCTAACACACAGAAGTGATTTTTGTTTTTCACATATACTGTTTTCCATTTTTAAGTCCAACCATTACCTAAAATAGGCACATGACATTCATGACATTCCAACATTTCTTTGCAAGTTCTAATTAATAACTGGCATATATTTTCATTAAGATTTTACCTGGTTTTATTAGTACTCAGTTTATGCACTATTCAATCAACAGAAGGCAAAATGAGTGAACAGGATTTAAAGTTACTTGTTATAAGACTGCCTTTGCTAAGAATAAGCAGCGACGCACTGGAACTTACACATCTTTTAGGTAAATATATGTGTCAGTTCAAAGCAGACAGGCAACTACTTCAACCTGAATATTACACAGCAAGCCTGAGCTCATTTTCTGACATTCTGCAAAACGTCTTGTGACAATTCTGCACTGAATTGAAGGCAGCTAGTGAATGAATGCACAGCAGCTTAATGGAAAAAGAAAATAACCTTGTAGACAATAACCCTAATTCAAACCCACAATGGGTAAGATCTACAAAGATCATTTCTAGTGTATAAGAGAAAAAGCAGTTATTGAGGTAGAAGATAATAATACACAAAAATTTAGCCAACATGGACTTTTACACAGGCTGTCTGAAGTCTACATTCTTGGAGGTTTAAGTTGATTAGGGAAAAATCACCGGTTTTACAGCACACTTTCAACCTAAAGCCTTACATATTGACTATGGCACACAACATAGTAGCTAGAACAGTACAATCAGAACACAATCCTCTGTGAGCATTTCCAAAAGCATTCAAGTACACTGACTTTCTGAACTACATACAAGAATAAGAATTTCCCTAACCTTTTAGCCTCTTCAGATAAACGCTTTTATGCCTCCCTTCACCGTAAAGCTTTCCCCTATGATCTTCAGCCTCACCCATGTATGCTCTGCCTTGCAAGAGCATTCCTACCAGCAAAGCAGTAACTCTGGAAGAGAATTTCATCTGTGGAGTAACTCCTCCATGATTTTGTCCGTAAATTCTGACCTCACTGTAAGCAAGGTAAAATTCTGCTAACACTTCCCACAGATCATGACAGGCTGCTACCACACCGTGTTATTCAGTATTTGCAATAGGTCCAAAGATCACAAAATCTAAAGTTCCATGCAAGCCGTCCACATGACAAGAGCCTTGCAAATAGATTAGAAATTTGGCTCAAAGTAAAAATGGGCATTTCTCCCTGCTGTGAAACAAACAATCTGCAAGCTCAAACTTACTCTGCGCTGCCCCATGTTATCATATAACCCAAATACTCACAGAAGTTTTTAATATGCAGTGCTAGAGCGTTAGCAGAAGTCTGCAGAAGCATCTCTACTGTTGACTGGTTCTTCTTTGAGGCTATGAACTCCACAGATACCTCTTTTGACAGCCATGGCATTTTGATTACAGGTCTGCTCTTCGTCTACCCCCCACCATTAATTTCCTGCCTTCATTTTGGACTAACAACCTTCTGAAGTGCATTTTAAGAATCCCTTAAAAGCAACTTGTTGAGCAAGTGGTAAAGTGCTGCCTACTAATTAAAGATCTGGAACAAAGGACAAAACTGTTCTTTCTTGTGACCTGAGCTACTATCGATCTATGAGTTAACATAGCTCAGTACAGATGCATTTGTATGTTCTTTCTGGAAGGTACTTAAAGACTTCTGAAGCTAGGCTGAAATATGACAAATATCACAGTATTTAAAGTTCAAATCTACCCCTAAACCCTGGAAGTACTTGGCCACAGTGGGTTCCTCAAATTTAAAATTAGTATTTTGTGTTCATCTGCTCATAAACAGTAACTTTCAAAGCTTTTAAACTTTAAGAACTTCCCCTAGCTGGAAATAAACCCATACTTTCTTAACTAACCTCCTTACTAGGAAATGCTATCAATACAGGACACTACAAATAACAGTTTTATGTACAGTTTGTCTTCAAAACAAAAAGATCTATTACATTTCACATACCCATTTCTAAATGCAAACACTTTATTGAATCCAGGCTCAGACAGCCTTTAAATGGCATATACAAAGCAAATCAGTAACGTGCTGTCTTGCTGAAGCTGTATATGCACATGGAGAACGTTGCTGAAGTATCTAGAAAAAGCAATTTAAGATCTTCCAAGAAACACTGAAACAAGAGACAGGCCAGAAGCAGCCAGAGCCTATTTACATGAACATCAGTTTAGAACTGATCACCTACATGGTCATTACTACAGAAAATCAAGTTCTTACCACAGCTTGGCCCACAACAGGACGGTTCACTGATCATCTCCCTCTCTACGTATTACAACAAAACACTATTTTTATTTCATTATCACTTGCTACAGCTCCCAGACTGTAGTTGTTTTGTCATTTTTCTTAAAGGGAGCAACAAAAGGAAGAGCCAGGAGCCATACCGGAATTCTTTGGTGCTTCCCAAGGCTGGTGAAGCAGACAAACTTCGTGACTTGGCTCGTCCTCGGCTCGTGTTGCTCCACTCCTCATCATCGTGACACGTTGAGCAATGATAAGCAGACTCTGAGCTCACATCAGCCTTACTGGTACACAGTTTTTCTCGATTCATCTCCATACTGGAAGTGAAGTAACCTCAGTGAGAGAGAAATTCAATTCCTGTGGAAAAACACCAGGAGAAAGGGGACAGGGAGGAAAGAGAAAAAAACCCTCAGTATTAGCAAAACTAATACAGTAAGTATTAAACACTGAGTTTATACACTTGGATAAAAACTTCTCAAAAGGATCTGGGCAATTGAGAAGTTCTTCAAGGTAATCTGAAGCAATGGGAATTAAAACACATGTTCTCAGATTCTTAAGAGGCTCAAAACAAAGCTGTTTCAAGACCAGCACAGATTCACATCTCCAGTTACAAATGGGATAAGATAAATTTATTTTAGATACTGAAGAGGAAGGAAAGCTTTAAGTATTTGACAAGGAATTAAGACTTAGGAAAAGCTAAAGTCTCCTATTACATGATATATATCTTCAACAAATAAAACTACAATACCCTAAGCTATAGCAGAAAAAACCCTGTCAAAGTAAGCAAAAAATAATGCAACAGAGATAACCTTAATAACCTTTAGTTCTTCAGAAATATAAGTTATTTCCATGCTGACCAGAGGCAAAAACAAGTTGGAGAACGACACCAAAGTTCTTACACCATCTGGGACAAACTGGGGAGATGGTCCAAAACAAATACAATGAAAGAAGGACAAATGTGAAGGATTTCACTTCCATGAATGAGCAGCACAAATAAAAGATAAACAGCTGGCTAGGCAGCAATTTTGCAACGTAAAAAAACCCAAACCCCAAACTTTAACTAACCATCCTCCCCAAAAGTTATTTAACTATCCCCCAAAAGATATCTGGGTGTAAAGTTACCAGAGGATGATAATGGCCACAATTTCACAAGTTTCATGTTTCACAGCATCCCAGCTTCCAGATAACAAAAGCATCAATGAAGTGAAGCTGTAATTTCAGAATGAGCACTGACTCATTACTAAATTAGACAGAACCACCACCTAACCAAATTAGAAAATACTTTTGCTCCTACTGTCGATTACACTTACCCTGAGAGAACACCACTACAAAGAGGTACAATTACTGGCATCCATTAATAATTTGTAAGATCCTGCACTTGTAAAGATATCAATGTGTAGTTGTTGATCACTCATTGCTCAGTATCGCTCCTGCCCGTTACTTGGGAAACGGTCATTTCAACACATTGATGGGTTTTTTTACAATTAAAATTTGAAAAATCTAACTCCATTTTTAGACTACTTTAAGCTCAGTATAAATTTTGTGCCAGTTAGTTGATTTATGCACACAATTACCCGGATGGTGCAGGCACAGATGTGAAACAGACTAAACTCTGACTCAAACAACGCAAGTTATCTTTAGTAGATTTTAATTTGAATTACCTTTCATCACAACCTCACCAAGCTTCAGGAATGGATCTCTGGCTGGTTGTTTCTGAACCAGCTACAGAAAACAAGATGTTTAGGTAACTGAGCTTCAGAAAAGAAGTCACTTTAAAATGAGATATTCAGTATCGCTGAACAGAAAGGGTCTTTCAGCATCTGTGTGCGTATGAAGAAAGTTCTTACTCTGTTCTTTAAATCATAATCTAAATTAGCCCACCTTTTTTACTTCACAGGTCCCAAACAGGCCTGAACAAGCCTAGAAACTTGAACAAGACTTAGAAACTGGGTATTTCCAAAAGAAACCCCATCCTCACAGAACTACCCTAGGAAAGCATACAAAACAGTTGGGTTTATCTATATCAAGTTAGACTGCTGCTAAAGCGTTTCAGAAGTATTGAAGGTGACAATAAGTAGTGAGCAATGTCTCATCTCCTCCCCTCTATCCCAACCTGCATGTTTCTCAAGGATATTCATGTATCCACTACACATGTGCACACTAGGCATCCACTCACTAAAGTCAGAATTACAAGTAATTATTTCTGCACTAAATCTGCACAGCAAAATGAGCACACACAAAAATGCGCAAGTCCACACTACGTAATTTGCCTTTGCTTTACCACCCCACAGGTTATGAACACCTCATTCCTTTATATCCTAACACTGAGAGCTTGATCTGGGCCTAGGAAAATAAAAATTACAACCATTAACCAAGTATAGGGAAATACAACATCTGTGAATGCAGTTTATGGAGAATTGGTGCTCAGTAACTTAACAGCTGATGCATGTGTGTCCTGTTCCACATCATCACCATAACTGTGAGGTGCAGAGAACAATAATTTATACAGTAAGCAATAAATAAGGTACGTTTCCAGGTGACTTTGAAGTATGTTAATCTGACAGATGCTGTCCATAAAGAAAATCAGATTAGCACAAAACTGGAAGTAAGGAGGTGTACAAACCTACTAAATACAACCTAAGAACTTGATATTCCTTCTATGTAATTCCTTCCAATTCAAGATGTTTTAACTACAATTGTTTTATTAACATTCCCTCACAAGACCTTTATTAAATAAGCAGACTTGACATAAGGACAAAGCTATCACTGAACAGCTCCCAGGATTGGATCCAAAAACTTTAAGCACATGTCAACAAACTAGCAAAAAGGCTGCTCTGGTCTAAATCATGTCCAAAATCTAAAGAACAAAATAAAAGGACTTAGATGTTCAGCATTACAGGACAAAGGACAACTGAGGAAGCGTTAACATTTAGCATTAAATGTCTGTGATAGTGACAAAGTAGCCAGATACCCAACCTTTCACTGCAGTTTCCCACCTTCAACTTCTCTGTCATTATAAATGAACCTCACAGAGCTTTCATCAAACCATCTTTATGTAAAAGGAGACAGCACCGTAACATCCCCCAAGCTTTACTTCACTGCTCAACTGTCATTAAGGAATCGCTCTCCAGGTCAGCTGCAAGAGTGTTAAGTACAAAGGAAATCTGGAACACTTCTGCTAAGCTTCCATATACACATAATCCACACGCAGGTGGTAAGAGGTATGTGTGCTCACATGTCAAAAACTCTTCTTCTCTCTTATATGATGCTCACATCACTTTGTACACATCTTCAGGACTGCAGCAGTTCTAGTTTCTTAGGAATTGTACCAACCATTCAGCACTTCCCCTTTTGTACATTATTTATCAACCTTGCGTTAGGGCATAAGAGAACAATGTTATATCCAGAAATGAAACCACATGCCCTATTACTACAGATCCCTGTTTGCTTCATCACTTAATTCTGCGGAGAAGTTTATTATTGTATTCTGCTGCAGAAAGAACTCCAATAGAGGTTATCTGCCTGTAACTCCACCCCTAAGGCACTAACCTCCCCCCCCCCCCCCCCACCCCCAAAAGAAGAAACAACTGCAAGCGGGTAGGCAAAACTTCCTTTTTGGTGTAGTTTATAACTTCATATTCCAGTGTGCGCATAGGAAAACCGGCAAAGTAACGCTCCCTATTGAAGTGCAGCGGTCTGACAGCGGCTGAAATTTAGCAGCGTGTTTTTTGATGACATACTCCAGTGCTATTTCTACAAAAAACCGGGCAGTATGACCATCACGTGTTCAATACCCGGGGAAAACAAGTTCATTTGTTAGCCCTGCCGCTTCAAACACCAACACACGCACCGACAATACCAAAGAACAAGCTTTAATTCCCCGAAACTCACCCCGTAGCCCGCAATGTGTGTGTGTGTTAAACAGGCGAGGAGCCGGAACGCACACACCTCATGTGTGACCAAAGACCGCGGGGCAGACACTACGCGGTTTGACTCTTTACCCTTTCGGGAACGTGTCCCAGCTCAGGGCTGCTCGCCGCTCACGGTAACAGCGGCACGGAGGGTACAGTCCCGCTGCAGCCTCCTCCCGGGGCTGCAAGCGAGTCACCGGCAGCAGCAGCTCTCCGGCTATCACCGGCCACAGGACGGCCGCAGCTCCCGCCCGCCCGCGCTGGCTCCAGGGACCGGCCGTCGCCGCGCCGCCCCCCGCGGGGACACGAACCGGGGGACACGCAGCGGCCAAGCCCCAGCTGGAGGCCGCTTGGCCCGGCCGGTCTTCTCCGGGGGCTGCCCCTTCAGCGCAACACCCCGCCCTGCGCGCCGAACTCACCGTGCCCTCGGCTGCTGCCCGGCCAGGCGGAGCGTCCCCCCGCTGCCCTCTCAGAGGCCGGCGAGTCGGCCCCGACCGTGCTGGTGGCGGCGGCCGCGGCGGCTCGTGGGCAGTGAGCGGGGCCGGCGGACCCTGCGCGCCTCCATCGTCCTCTCCCCGCCTCCTCGGCAGCGTCGGGTCCGCAGGCGGGGCAATGCGCATGCGCCACAGCGCTGCTCGCGGACCGGCGGCCCGCCCCTGCGCAGCGCGGAGGGTACGAGCGAGCCGCTGCGCATGCGTGATGCTTGTGGCGAGGGGTTTGTGTGAGGCGGGTTCTCCTTTCCCCTCTGCTTTTACTTTTAATTATAAATTATGTGGGGCTAGAATTAGAGCTCAGCAGAAAATCGCAATAAAAGGAGCAAGAAACGCGAAGAAAAGGGCAACCCCCCTCAAACATCCAACACAAAATGCACCGTAACAGCACTGACGGGTGGTGGTCCTGCTGAGGAGAAGCGGATGCATCGGCCTCAAACACACTCAAGGCCGAGCAGTCACTGGATCTCGAAATCACCAAGAACTTGTCACAAACTTCAGCAGAGGTAGGCTGAGGGCCCGATATAGATGCCAACAAGAAAAAAAATCCTGCACAGGTACCAAATCCACTCAGGTTTTCTAATTTCTCAATTACATTTTCAACCAATAGCACTTTAAAGAGATCATACACGTGTAGCTCGCTGGATTGTAGATCAGGAGAAACCCACAAAGTGAGAACAAGTCACACCATTTGGCAGTGTGGCAATTTGGGATTATTTTTTTTTTTCCTCCTTCCTTTATGTAGAAATTCATGTTTTCAGGAAACTGGGGAGCTGCCAAGAAGTGACAGTCAATAAATGACACGACAAACCTGAAAAAGAGGAAGCAGTTGCTACATGTGGGGAAATACCGTAGCAATGCTACACCACTTTCTAACTGAAGTATTTTCAGTCCCAGTTTCTCTTTAATCCTCCTTCCAGACAGTGCTAAAAGCCCAGTCTACAAGGAATTAAGGAAACAATACACAGGTTTTTGCAGTTAATGATATCCTGGAGACTCAAATGGCTTTCACGTGCTGAAAGTGATACTCAAACCATAAAGGGACAACACAACATGAGGAAGGAATATAGCAGTAAGTTTTACAGATTCAAAGCACTCATCTTAAGAGCTGCAGTAAAACAACATGTTCCAGCAAAGAGGAACACAGTGCCTGTATTAACTGTCCATACCCAATTACTGACTACAGAAGCTAACCAAAGAGTAAATTTTCATTCGAGTTGGCTCTTGGGATGGATTTTTCCAAATTCATTAAGATGAAAGTGAGAAATCACTACCAAAGCCATTTTCCTGAAGGATGTATATTGGCTGTTATGGGAGGGTTTTTTCCCACACACAGAAACTTCATGCAGTTGCTTAACATTTTGCAAGAGGCATGAACTGTGACATAATGAACACTTATCCTCATTAATCGGTGGAGATAAGGCTACTAATCAGCTGAGCCTATCCTATTTATAAAAGAGCTACAGTTATAACAGCAAATCTGAGCTGTCCAGGTTCAGCAGTGACCTTGGAAGTTCTGTTTGCTGGTGTGGACAAATGTAAGAGGCAGACTGGTAACATCTCTTCTGTCCTCCACAAACTGAAGTACCATGAGAAAGCGAGGAGTCTTAAATTGCTTTTGAGCATGTTCTCCTTAACAGCATGATCAGAACAGTGTAGCTCAGCACTCTATCCCAGGTTGTGCTGCCTTTCTTTCAGGGAAGACACTGGACAAAAATAAAGAGAAATGTTGGCAGAAACACTGAAAAATAAGCATAAAAACCACACTGCATTTTTCTACTAAGGCTCTCAGTTTTGTGAATATAATTTGACTGGCTTTAGATTAATAAAAAAGATAACTATAAAAACGTTGTTTGTTTGACCAGTTGAACAGAAGACTGGGGCCTGATAGAGAGAGGCTCTGCTCAGCCTCCATCTACAACTCAAGCCTATTCAGCAGAAGGTATTTCCGTTGAACAGGAAACAATTATCAGATTGTCTCTATTAGCACCTAAGAAGGTTGATGAACACAGTTCTTACCTCTCAAACTTCCTTTCAATCTCTGGTGATTCAGAATTCCTGAGGAATCGCAAGGAGTAAAAATGGAACACAGAGGTTAAATTCTCGTCAAAATGGTGGCACATGAGCATGACAAATGAGCTATTTATCAACGGCCACAAACTACAAAGCCACTGACATAAAGATAGAGAAATATATGCTATAGCATTGCATTATTTGGGCCGATTACAAACATCTCTAGTCGTTACATAAATATCATTATCCCAATTTTAAAGACTGAACTGGATTAACTGACTTGCACAAGGGTTAAGGAATTTGTGCTGGGCACAGCTGAGATAAGCCATCAGGAATGTTGGCATGTAGCCCCACACTCAATCCACTTGACAATACAGATCTTCTTCGATAATGTCAGATGATGATTGAAAGCTATTGGAAGCCAGTAAAGAAATCTTAGGTAATAGGGAGTGGGGAGATTTTGAAGAAATCTAACATGTGAAGAGTAATACCAAGGGTCTGTATCAAGGAGTAGCTCCCAGGATTTACCTCCTATCTCATAGCAGAATTCGGAGAAGAGACAGACCTAAGGAGAATAGCTTGGGATACAGCTTGGGGTGTTCTGGGAGGTGTTCCTGTCTCTCCTTGCATGACTAATGGATTCTGTTTATCTGCCTTCAAAACAGGTAAAAGTAATTACTTACTTCTATCAATCTTGTCAATACTGTGATCTCACTACACAGGAGTGATACAGGAAATGCCTCTTGGCACACACACAAGGAGCACACACAGTCCTTATTTTACGCATTTCCTGTTGCTACCCTAATACAAATAAGAATTAAAAAACAGGTCTATTTATTACACTATTTTACTGTTCACAGGAAACCTGGTGATTCTTTTTAGGAAAGACCTTGATTCACAGGAGACATTGATTATTTTTAAGAAAGCAGCTTTATGAATTGGAACATTTAAAAGCTTCTAGTTGCTCCAGTTACTCCAGAGGAATTAGAAGGACACTGCTGCAGCACTGTCCAGCATTTATGGTCCAACACTGGAATATATGGGGGATTTCCCTGCCCATGGGAGGGGGGTTGGAACTATACAATACTGAGGTCCTTTCCAACCCTAACTATTCTATGATTTATGACAGGAACATAGAAGAGATGTCAGAATCCAGCCTTATAGAATTCTAGTTCTCTCAGTGTTTAAAGGAATCTGCTTTATTTGTATCCCCTAGGCTAACATGGGAACACACCTCATCACCATAACAAACAGTTAAAAGATATTGAAATTGCAACTTTAGCTGCTAGTTGGCTCTTGATAATGGGGGAGCTGGTTGTTCCTAGTCCTTTACTTGCCAGAAGCCACCCAAGTCAAATGAGTAACATGAACACCCTGTTGCAATAAAGGAGGAAGTTGGGTCACAAGCTTTCAGAACTGCCCAAACTTTGAAAACAGTTTGATGAGCAGCAGCAAAGAAACAGTAAGATGGTTCCTTTACATTTGATTCCTGTTTGTTATCTTGTATTATAAATCACATTGACATCTAAAGACTATTATGCAGCCACAGAATGATTTTAAATAGCAGGAGGCACAAGTTGAACAAGTGACATGGAAAGTAATGTGGCCAAACCCTGTTCGTGTCACTAGCAAGGGTTAACAAGTGAAAGAATTATCACTGCAGGCTTTTCTTGCTTAAGTGTTGTACAGGTATGAAATACCATGCTCTTGTTCCAATGTAGATGGAAAACTCATTCTTCTACCTAGATTACCACAACAAAACCTTATCACATCCCAGGTGATTGCAGTAAGCACCAAGTAGTCATATGATAATATGTGTGCAAACACACACAATCATGACTTCGATGCAGATGGTGATTGTTAACTCATCGTGAGTTAACACATTTCTGCTCTGGAAGTCAGAAGGGAGCCAATGTGCAGCTTGCTCATGAAGAAAAAATGTCCTTCCAGCCCAGTTGTAAGTCCAAGAGCTTTCATGTCCACCATCAGCAAAGGTACTCACATCATCTTACTATGTGGTTCTAAAGTCCCTGGAAGTCAGCACTCCTTTGCAATGGTTGGCTTATCAGACAGTGTACTCTTGTATTAAACACTGTTAAAACCAAAACAACACAAATCAGTCCCTAGATTAAAAAGTTACTCTTCCTCTTTTTTTTTCTTGTAATTGAGGCTCTTTGTTCCTCTGACCTTTAGGTTTGTGCTGTCCTAGGAATTATCTAATAGCACAAGGAAGTGACTTGTTATCACCATGACACTTGTTTTCTGGTTGTTGGGTTCTTTGGGATTTTTTTTTGTTTTTTTTTTGTTTTGTTTTTTTTTTTTTTGCGTGTTGATAAACCTAAAATCTTGATAGAAGAACTTCAAAACAAAGTGTCTGGATGCCGATTCGCTGAGGAAGGTCATTTCACCAAGATGTGAGCCAATCTAGGGTTGATGCCAGCACAACCTGGACTTGAAGAGACAGAGTTAATGCTTGCAAAACTGTATGCAAAGGGAAAACTTAAATATATTCCAGACAGCAGAAACATATAAAACCAGCTGATGTGATCAGTACAACACAAATGAAGAGGAAACCAGTCTGGAGTCCAAAAGCTTCAATGTATGATTGTATTAAGTCAGAATATAAGCCTTACATCACACCCTTCTAACTGTCAAAACCAGAAATGACACTAGTCTCTGCCAACTGCTGCTTCATTTGCATCAGAATTCTCTATACCCCAGCATTATTAATGTTCTCCTTTTCATGTATTCAGCTCATGTTTTGCAGATGCTCAGATCACAGATGCATTTGAAAACCTTCCCATTCAGAACCTTTGTTCTAGTTCACAGAAAGCCAAAGAAAGGTGATGAAGATACCCTTTTCCTTTGGGAGGTATATTTTCTTTTGTGCAAAGACCCCATATTGAAATAACAGCCTACACTATAGTTAAATGATCCTTCATAGAAAAGAGGAAGGTAATTTTTCAGATCAAAGAATGCCACACTCAAGAGATCTGCACCTGCACTTACAATAGCTTGAGTGAAATTACTGGTCCTTCCACCTCAGGCAGAGGCTTTCAGTGACTGTGGACCCCAGTGAAACCCATTCTTTCCCTGAGACATTTGCTCTAGAAAAAGTACCAGAATGAAGCATATTCATGTCTCATGATTACTAACTAGCTACCCTTAGGCACCGGTTTACCTTCCTTCTTCATTCACAGATGATTTTCACAATTCTGTGGTCAGGCAGCTATATATATTTAAAAAACCATCAAGATATCATCCATGCATATTGCCATCTCCCACCAGCCCTATGGCTCCACCTTCTTCCACCAGGTAACTATCTTTTCCTTAAAGATAAGTGTTTTCTTTTTAAAGACTGTGTTTTCTTTTCAAGACACATCTTAGTTTCCTGTTTGCTGATTTCTTCCTCTACTGCTAGAGGACAAGCCTTCCAGCACCTCCAGTTCTGGCAGTGATCCTCACTAACGTTCAGAGGTGCCCAGTAAGCATGGCTCACCCCAAATTACTTTTTCACTTCCTATTTTGTCTCAAGTATTCACCTATTTCGAAACGGCAAATTGGTCATCCACAAAACATCGCAGTAACCAGGTAAGCAACATAATGCTTTTAAGTCTATTACTAAACAACTCCTAACAACAGGAAAACAGGACTTGGTGATACCTCAACAGGCCATACATTTGTCTGCCCCAAGGCAGGAGCAAGTCTATCCATGTCACATCTAGCAGACATCTACCAAAACAGTTCTTTAGGTTTGCTAATGGTAGAAACACTACAGCAACTTAAGGCTACTTAGTCCAGTGCTACTCCTGACTTTTACATTAAAGCTATTCTAATGCAAAACCTCCTTGATACATTCTGAACTCTTTACCTTTTACTCTATCCATAAGTTATGTTCTTAACAGGTTACCCAGAGAAGCTGTGGCTGCCCCATCCCTGACAGTGTTCAAGGCCAGGCTGGACACAGGGGCTTGGAGCAACCTGCTCTGGTGGAAAGTGTCCCTGCCCATGGCAGGGGGTTGGATCTGGGTGAGCTTTAAGGTCCCTTCCAACACAAACCAGTCTGGGATTCTATACACTGTGATGTGGGACTGTCACTTGAGGACAGAAGCAGCTGTCTTTGCCCCCAGGAGTATCCAAGCAAGTCTGTGACAAAGGTAGTGGCAGAAGGTGCATTTACTGCTGTTCCTATCCACCCTGCTCCAAAGCCTGCACAGAGGGGAGCAGGGAGCATTAAACCCCAGAATCCAGGGAACAGCTGCTTTAAAAGCTGCAGCAGTGCCCTCTAGCGTCTGTGGGATGCTGCAAAGTCCTTAACTGAACCGCTCAAAAGGGTTCAAGCACAAAAGGTGAACTTTTTAACCAAGCTCAGTAATGCTGCTTACACAGCCTGTGACAGCAGGCTGGCCATCAGCCAGAAGTAACTCATTTTGGTGTTTCTCCCAGACAGTTCCCTGCAAGTAATATTTTAGGTCATCAAAATTCATAGCTAAAAAGCTTCTGAGGAAGCTCAGGGGGTCGTGCCCTGGCATCTCTTATATTTGTTCCATTTCATGAAATACAGCATGAAATTCATGCACATTCTGTCGAACATCACATTGAAACCAATGTTTCAAATTTCAACATGTGACCTGAAATCAAACTACTGAAGTAACATGATAGTTAAGTACACAGTTATGACTGTAAGGTCAGAAGTGAGACCCCAAGTGTCATACAAGCCTAGAAAGGGGGTATTTAGTGTTTGCATATGGCATAATCTTCAGTTCCCAGCAGCTGAAGAGTCTGCAGGCGATCAGTCATGCAGGTAAAGTTCCTAAATAATGCACGGCACTCCTGTGAATGGTTCTTAATGCACATGCTTCCTGTGGGGATCACAGTTCTCCTGACTGCAGTCAGCAGTCAGCAGTAGGGCAGGGTGCCATTCTGGAAAGGGTAGGAAATGAATCAGAACTGCTTGCAGACTGTTTCACCAATGGATCCTGTTCCTAAAGGGTAAGCTCTAAGCAGCCAGTTCTCAAAGCTCTCCTATGGCTCCTGTCACTGGGCTGTCCTCCACCTAAGAGGACACACGGGTGTCCTACAGCTCTTCCCAGACACGCCTGCATGCCCCGCATGGCCGTAGGCAACACATACACACCCCTCAGCGCTCCGGCCTACTCTGAGCTATGGGGAGGGATCCTTCCACACCCAGAGACGCAGGTTCTGTCTTGCCTGCAGCAGTAGGTTGCTGCCAGATGGATAACGTCCAATTTCTTTACCTTCCTTTGGCCTCTCCAGCTTCAGCCCCAACAGCTCCCATCCGCAGCCAGTGAGTGCTCCCTCTGCCACCACATCGTAAGCAGAGTGAGGCTAGGAAGGGAGGGCCCATGTGAGCCTGAGGTGGGCGCAGCCAACAGCATCCCGGAACGGACACCCACGATCTCTGCGTGGCCTCTGGGAGAGGGAAAGAAGCAGTGACCACTATTAGTGCACATTACCTCTGGCCAGAGGCCCTTTCCCACTGGGGCCTCCGACAGCTCGCTGCCATCACCTCCGGGGTTGGGGGAGGCCTGGAGCAAAGGAAAAGGCTCCTGGGAAGTAGGGGGGAGGCCACGGGATACAGGAGCTGCGGCTGCTGCTCACGGTGAGCACGGCCAGGGCAGGCTCAGGGGCAGCGCTAGGGGGTGCCGCCTCTTTCCCCTCTTCCCTCCTGCCGGCTCCCAGGTAACTCCCTGGGGCTGCCGTGACCCGCCCCGCCTCCAGCAGACCGGGAGCGGCTGCACCGGAGGCTTGAAGCTTCCCGTCCCCCACCCCTGGGAGCCCGCGGGAGGTGCGCGCTGCCCTCCCCCATGGCCTCGGGCCTCGCATTCCGCCGCCGCCGCCGCCATTGCCGGAACCCATGCCATGGGAACCGCCATATTGTTTCTAGGAAATGCGCATGCGCAGTATACCTACGGCACGTCAGAAGGGCCAAAAAGCCAGAGCGCGACCGGAGGGCTGCAGCCACGGGACAGCAACGTCTGCGAGCACCTGGAGCGCCCGGCGGCACCGCGAACATGGAGCCGCGGCGGCAGCGGAGGCGTTTCTTTACCGGGAAGCAGGAGCGAGGGCTCGACACCGTCTCAGCAGCACCACAGTATCGCATTTCCACTTCCGGAATATAAAAGCGACACTGCGCATGCGCAGAGCTTCGGCTGCAGTACCTCAGTCTGGACACAGGACGGCAGCAGCGAGCAACGACACCCCACCATGCAGTACCGAATTCTGGCCACTGGGTGGCAGTATTTAAAGGAAAATGTCGACACGCACAGCACCCCCCCCGATGCAGTACCTGATTTTGACCACTTGATGGCAGTATTTAAAGGGAAAATGTCGACAACCCGCTGCAGTACCAAGTTTTGGCCACTGGATGGCAGTATTTAAAGGGAAATTTCAACACACAGCGCCCCCTCCATGCAGTACCATATTCTGGCCACTGGGTGGCAGTATTTAAAGGGAAATGTCGACACCCTGCTGCAGTACCTAATTTTGACCACCGGGTGGCAGTATTTCAAGGGAAATTACGACACACACAGCCCCCCTCCCATGCAGTACCTAATTATGGCCACTGGGTGGCAGTATTCAAAGGAAAATGTCAACACGAACAGCGCCCCCCCGATGCAGTACCTAATTTTGACCACTGGAGAACAGTATTTAAAGGAAAATGTCGTCACCCACAGCCCCCTCCCATGCAGTACCTAATTTTGACCACCGGGTGGCAGTATTTAAAGGGAAATGTCGACAACCCGCTGCAGTACCGAGTTTTGGCCACCGGATGGCAGTATTTAAAGAGAAATTACGACACACAGCCCCCCCCCCCCCATGCAGTACCTAATTCTGGCCACTGGGTGGCAGTATTTAAAGGAAAATGTCGTCACCCACAGCACCCCCCGATGCAGTACCTGATTTTGACCACTTGATGGCAGTATTTAAAGGGAAATTTCAACACACAGCGCCCCCTCCATGCAGTACCATATTCTGGCCACTGGGTGGCAGTATTTAAAGGAAAATGACACACACAGCACCCGCTGCAGTACCTAACTTTGACCACTGGATGGCAGTATTTAAAGGAAAATGTCACACCCCCCCTGCAGTACCTAATTTTGACCACCGGGTGGCAGTATTTAAAGGGAAAATGTCGACACCCCGCTGCAGTACCGAGTTTTGGCCACCGGATGGCAGTATTTAAAGGGAAATTCCGATACACAGCCCCTCCCTCCCCCCCCCCCCCCCCCGGCAGTACCTAATTTTGGCCACTGGGTGGCAGGAGCCTGTCACAAGAATTCTCTTTTTCGGGGGGAACTGGCCCCAAATTGAGCTGTTCTCCCCCTTTTTTGGGGGCACTCCCCCCATAATGGGGGTCTCGCTCTCCACACCTCACGTGAAGTATTTGTACTTAAATATCCATTCGGAAATGAAACCCCGACAAGGAGGTTGGGCGCGCGCTTTGCGTTAACGTCCGTGTTCACGCACCTCCGCGAAACCTCGCTTCCCGCGAGCACCCGCCACAGGCGGGAGCGCCCCTCCCCCTCCCTTCCCGGTTCCGCGCCGGGCTGCCCTCCCCTCGTCAGCTTCCGGTCCGTCGTACGTCATCACCCCGCGCCGCAGAGAGGGCCCGGCCGCCGCCATGGTGCAGCTCGGTAAGTGCCGGGGGGCGCGGCCCGCGGGGCCCTGTCCGTGTCCCGTGTCCGTGACCGCCGCGCTCTCTCCGCAGGCAGCCGCCTCCTCAAGGGCTACCGCGGCGGCCACGTCGTGATCCGCTTCGCCCGGGGCGGCTGCACCAACCGGCCCTTCTACCGCCTCGTGGCGGCGCACAACCGGCGCGCCCGCGACGGGAAGTACCTGGAGCAGCTGGGCTGCCTCGACCCGCTGCCCAACAGCCACGGCGAGAAGGTGGCGGGGCTCAACCTGGAGCGGCTGCGGCACTGGCTGGGCTGCGGCGCGCAGCTCTCCCGCCCTGCTGAGAAGCTCCTGGGTAGGCCCGGGCGGGCTCCGGGGCGGGGGCCCGGGGCTGGCGGCCGCTGCTCACCGCCTCTCCTTGCAGGTCTGGCCGGGTTCCTGCCGCTCCACCCCATGACGGTGACCGGCGCCGAGCGGCTGCGGCGGCGGCGAGCGCAGGAGGCTGCCGCGCAGGCCGCGGATGGCTCTGCTGTGCCCGGCGAGGAACCGTGAGAGGCCCCGAGCGAGGGCTCCGTGAGCGGGATCGCGCCCTGCCCCGCCGCCCCCTCCGAGTGCATTAAAGTGTCATTTGCGCGCTCTGTTCGGCTGTGCTGCTCTCTCCAAACCCTGCTCTGGAGCGTTTACTCTTGCTGCGGTGTAAAAGGGGTTTTCCTGCTGCCATGCAGGTACAGAACCATGCCAGATCATTTATGGCCTTTGCTAAAGGCGCAGCATCCGCTCTAGCGCCGCCCTTTCTGCAGCAATGGCACGGTTACTTCCATTTGCCTGCTGCACTCAAGTGTTTTGGCTCCTGGCAGTGATTTATTGTTACATGACAGTCCGGGGCTCCAGGAGAGGCCCGACACAAACAAATGCAAATGGTTCTGTAGCTGCGTTTCTGCTTAGTTTCTCCAGAGAGTTTCTGTGCCTGTTCATTCATTTACAAGCAGAAGGGAAAGATTCCCATCTTGGGTAAAGAGGGAGCAAGGTTTGCACGAAGCAGGATGCAGATCTTACCACTTGCATCACATTTGAACCTACCTGAGAAACAAGAAATCCACTGTAGTCTCTCCCACCTTAGATGCACCTCTTGCTTTTTGGGGTTTCCTTTGGTGTAACTTTCACTACAAAGGTCAGGCAAAGACAAGTTTCCCGTTGTGCACTGAGGTTTGTAGTGCAATTGCCCTGACAGAGGCAGAGGAGAAAAACCACTCTAAGGAGAGGGACCTGCTTGCTTTTAACAACATCACGATTCTGAGAATGCCTTTATTTCTGCTTACGGATGAAAGAGAAGCTGCTTTAAGAACTGAAGTGGGTGAGGCTGTGAAAGGTGGTATTGCTTTTCTAATACGCGCTCTCCCATTCTTCCATACAGCTGATGTTGAGAGTCACACTTTATACAGACCAGTGGCTATACTCTGGTACAGGGTTTCTAGCAAGTTCCTCTCTAGCTTACTCTGGACTTGTTTGCATCTGCCCTGTTCCTCCTATCAGAACCTAAAGGTACCACACAGCTTTCCTTTTTGGAGCCTTCTGCTTCCAACACAGGAAGATGGATGTGCAAGGTTTCTTTTGTGAAATTTTCCTATTAAAAAGGAAAAAAAGAATGAATTTGTTATTAAATAAAACATCCCACAATCATACACAAGGCAGGAAAGGAGTTGCTTCATGTCCTTTTGAATCCTGACGTGCTGTGGGGGTGCTCTCTAATGCAACAGGGTGAGTGACCATTAGCATCAGACACTACTGTTGCAAGGCACAGTAATAATGCCAGGTAAATTGAAGAAGTACCAAGAGGTGAGTCTGCTGGTGCTGAGGTCGTGCTTCCCACAGTGGGGTCTTCTCATCTTTTCTCTTGCCCTACCAGGTCCCCTGCAAGGTTCAGGGATGTGTTACTGTAGGCACTGCACTAAATACTCTCCCTACAGCAAGGGCTAGTGCAAACGGAGCAAGAACTTTCCTTTCCAGGTAGGAAGGAGCTGCTGAACTTACTCAGTTATTACTGTCACCTTCCTCTGGTCCCCCAGAAGATGTGTGGGCTAAAAAACCCCAACTGCACACAAGGAGTGAGCGTAAGCCAGAAGCAGAGTTATCATTGGGCTGCTGCAGAGCAAAAGCTGAGCTTGAAGAAAGCTACAGATGAAGACTGAATCTCCAGCATAGTAATTCTTCATAGCAGTTGAGTTAAATCCCTCATTACTTAAGTAGCTCTTGCAAGCTTGGTTAGCACTGCACTCATGGAAGCCAAAACTCTTCATTTGTGCTCTGATGCTGTGATTCCTCTGCTGGCCAATCCATTGGCTATTGCAACAAAATCTGTTACTCTTTGTTCAAGAAAGGTATTGCTGGATCCTAGAAATGGCAAAACCAAACAAGAGCCTTATGTACCTGGCAAATACTGCACCAACCCCACTGCAGACTTCTCTCGGTCTGTAGACTGCACCTGAATTCATCTGATTAACCCATGTTGTTGCCTGTCAGGTCTCACATAAAACTCCTTGGCTGCCACTGCAGGGGGCCATGAGGCACAAGCTGCGTACACCAAAAATACTCATTATTCCACACATTTACCATTCTGCACAGGGAGAGAGCAAGTGCTCCAGTAGTCACTGAATTCGCAAGATGTTGTACTTAATACAACCCACGGGGTGTTGTGTTAATGGCATCTAAAAGTCTCTCACAGTCTTTCGATCTGAGGGATGGACAACATATTCATTAAGGAAGCCACCTTTTACCAGAAGACAAAGTCTGGTTTTAGTAAATAAAATGCATCTCCTATAGAGTTCAAGATGACTGTGCCTTAGTACAAAATAAAACTGTCTAGACAACTCTCTTCAGCTAGTTCCCAATATAGCTTTGTCTTTTTCTATATATTCAGTCATGCAAGTTTGATGTGGTTTGAGGAGACTCATTCTCTTCATTCAAAGGTGCAGCAGGAGCTCCAAAATCATTAGGTTGTCTTTTCTGAGAGACATGGCAGAGGCCAAGTGAACTGCAGACACATGCTGCTGAATTACAAACGTGAGACAATTGATAACACACTTTCTTTCTCTGTTCCTCTTCCCATTTTCCCTACTTCTGTACATGTGTTCTAAATCCATTTATGAACATCCACAAATAATCGCCATCAAGCAACCTTTAATGATAAGAACTTCATCAAAATTAACCTTTAGGCACCACTGAAGAGATTAAACTACAGCACAGCGTAAAATCGCTTTCCTGCCTAAACTCATGCATCTCCTCAAACAGCAGCTCAGATTTAGACAGAGTATTTGAAGCGTTTACATCCTAAAGGTAAACCTCACTTTGCACTCGCAGCTCAACAGTGACCGCACAGTCAGTTCTGTAAAACACAAAGTAGTAAAAGGAAGAAAGTAATCAAGTAAGTAAGTAATGCCTCTTATTAAAGTTATTTCTATGGATTTGGTATCACTTCCAAGTCTGCAGGGTGGTGGCAGGCTCTGGTGTTTTTCCCAGGTATCACCAGTACTGCTTGAAGTTCCAAATTAGCAGACACTGATGTTGACCTTCAAGTCCTACGTATGTGAACACTGCATAAATATATCTGCAAAATAAAGTCTGTATCACATAAAATAGAAAATGTCATGTATATTCTATTGGGCAATGCACAGGGGCAATTGTTTTATCACTATATAAAAGTATTTCATAATATAGATGGAAGCAAAGACGAAAGTTACCATCAACTACACTGATTTCATCAAGAACCTTCTGAAGATCCTCATTTGCAATAAAATGATCTGCAGCTTGAGCTGCCTGGAAAAGGAAAGTGCTTATGATCCATTTAGTGCAATGATGCTGGCTACAAAACATAAAACACTTTAACACTGGACCAAAAGAAAAACCACACGTATTTTTTAGTTTAAAAGTTTGGTGAGATAAGGAAGAGAAATTAAGGTTACACAGCAGAGCAACACGAAAGCAACTTTCCAAAGTCTTTAGATTGTCAGAAATCAGAAGTGCCAAATGCGCAGTTTCTTACGCTATTCTGTTCTAGCTTTGTCCTGAGCAGTCTTGGGAACAGCTGTCCCATCATCAAGGAAATGGTATGTCACAGATATTCCTGCAGATACGACACTACATAAGCCCAAACAAAGAAAAGGAAGGTGAACAGACTCATCAATCTGACCGTCCTTTACCTCTTGAGTTCTTGACTTCGTAACTTCAGTGGTGTTCCTCCACTTAAGTAAATGCTGAGTAGCATGAGACTTGCTTCTAAGATACGAAAAGTAATGCTCAGGGGCAGACGATTGAGAGATTGTTAGGAGTTGTACATGATGATTTCAGCACTGGAGTGTACTAAGCCACAACAGCTACAGATTATACAAGCTGTTTCATCTTGGCATCGCAGACGAAGCATCAGAATGAACTTAGGTAAAAAGTCAAGTAGAACTCATTCCAAAAAAGAGACCCTCCAGAGAAATCCCTCTTCTGGACCTAAAATAACCTCTGCAGGGATGCCATGCACAGCACACACGGTACCAAAATGCCCATGAGGCTTGGTAAACTTTGGCTGCCTACCCAAGTAGAGAGGCAGGCTAACAGGGACCCTAAAAATAGTTTTGACTTTATTTCCATTTTTGCCTTTGCTCTCAAAAGACTCCCAGGCTTAACTGGTAAGAGAGCTCACCCATTTACCACCTTCCAAAATCACAGTAAGCATTTTCACAGAACCCAAAATGGAACCCAAAACCATTTTAGTAGTTTCAGTGAGATACAGAAGATGCAGCTCCAGCTGCCAAGTACTTGGTCACTGATCCCCATGCAGATTGCAGACTGTCTCAAGGTACAACTGTATGAAAAAACAAGGACGATGTTTTGCAGGCTTTCACGCAAATGATTTTTCTTAAATTACCAACTTAACTTTGAGAGTAAGCTTCTACCCAAGGGAAACGGATGCAAAAACTCTTCTCCCCAAAGCTGGGTTACAGACAACTGCCCATCCTCTTGCTAACTCATCATAAGCCCTCGTAGTCTTAAGTCTAACGTGGAAGGAAATACGCAACCATCACCAGGAACCACAGCCAGAACTCACAGAGCAGGGTTTGGGAGCTGGGCTGCTGCAGTTTCACCCCACAGCAGCTTCCTGGAACAGTTCCGCTGGTGCAAGCTCTGCCCACTCAGGAGCACACGGGGCTTGGCAGAGCGCTCCCAGCACACGAGCAGGACCAGTCACCCTCAGCCTTTCCAAAGTTTTGAAAAGCCTCTTCCAGAGCCAGGCCTACCACAGGCAGAGGCCAGGTCCTGCAGGTTGGCCCCACTGCTCCTCAAAGCCACAGTGATCGAGGACAGGGCCGCTCTGCCTGGCCATGAGATGGCACCTTCTGCCCACGGCGGTGCCCTCAGTGGCACGCGCAGCCCTGCAGCTTGCTGCCACCTGAGAAATCATGGTCACCCTGCCCATGCACCACACTTCCAGATCCCCTCCCTCAGGCTGGACACCACCACTTGTCCCCCTGGGAATGATGGCACCATGGCACAGGTGGAGGGAGCGGGGGCACAGACAGGCCTTTGCCACCTCAGCGGAAGGATGAGCGGTGCCACGTGCTGCCGCCTCCCGTGAGCACGGGAAAGCTTGGCGAAGCAGCGCAGACCTTCTTGCTGTTTGCCAGGCCCACTGCTGCCGGACTGGGGGCACAAGAGCCTAACGGGCCATGGTGGGGAGGCTGAGGGTGACACAAAGAGGCAGCAGAGGCTGTGGCGTCTTCTCCCATTTATTCGTTCCGCGCGTGGGGCAAGAGCGGGCGCTGCTCTTCCGTGGGAGGCAGCTCCTCGGTGGGCGGCAGCTCATAGGTGACACAGAGGGAGGAGAAGAGACAGCCTAGGAAGGACACCAGGCTGGCGAAATACATGGCACCGCTGGCACTGCCCACAGCTGCTGTCAGTGGTCCCATGGCCAGGGCCACAAGGATCTGTGCCAGGAAGTACTGGCAGCTCAGCAGGGAGATGTCAACGCCCATCCCACGCCGTGTGCCCTCCGCCTGTGAGCCTACAAACTGTGAGGGACACACTGTAAGGGGTCTGGAGGTGCCACGGGAGCCCCTCTTCCCTCCCTGGCCCAGGGCTCACCTCATGGCTCTGGTAGTAGTCACACAGCAGGGAGTAGGGCAGCGTGCAGAGCGTGGCAAAGAGGATGCCGTAGGTAGCACACAGCGACAGCACCACATAGACATTCCTGGAGAGTGTGGCCAGACCTGTGCCGAGCCCGAAGGACAAATATGCCACAAAGTACAGGGTCCGTGTGCTGAACCGCTCCTCCAGCTTCTCCAGCGCGGCTGCAAGACAATGGCATGGCATTTGGGGTGAACTGCAGCCCTCCCTGCCACTAGCCTGTCACTGGACCCAAAGGGTGCACCTTTGGGCCCTACCTCTTAGGTAGCCACGTCTCAGCAGCAACCATTAAATCTTTGAGTAACTGGTGGCTTAAACATGAGCACCAATGACGCCTTCCAAATCCCACTGCCATGATGCAGCCTTGCTGCCGTATCTGTGTGGAGGACATGGCAGAGCTGAAGCCAGAGGAGTAAATGGGAATTCCTCCCCAAAGGCAGGAGGCAGAGCAGGCAGATGCACTACACACACAACAAGGTACTCGGGTGGCACATGACATGGGGTACTACGCCAGGGGCACATGGGCCCTGAATGCTGCTGTGCCAAAGCTGTGCCTATGGTGGCTGCATGTATTTCTGGATTCAACGTACATTTAAAATGCCACTTGTGAAAGGAACTATACACTAACAGAGACGCGTTTTCACTGGACTGCTGACTGCATCTGCACAAGCTAACTAGCTGAGATATATGGTGAACAAGAACAGTCTGCTTCAGCACTCATGCCATGTGAGTTGCACACAGGCTATGCGCAACATAAATGCAAGACTACTTGCTGCAGAAACACCACTTAAGGAATGGGTGCATCCTTCTCACAGCAGCTGCTAAGAAGGCTTTACCAAGTACCTGAATAGAAAGCAGCACTGAATGCATAGATGCACATTCCCCAGCAGCCCATGGTGACCCCAGCGTTGTACTTCTGATACTCATCTGAGTTGTGAGGCGCTTTTGGATTCCCTTGAAACACGACTTCTCCCATGAAGTCAGTGTAGAAGAGTAACATCCCCTCAAACGAAAGCCATCCTGAAAGAAGCCAGAAAGTCACCTATTAGGATTGCAGAGTATCTGTTTCCCCTTGCAAGTCACATTTATCTGTGACTGTTGCTCCCCACGCATTATGCTACAGTGTTTGTCAAAGACAATCAGGATTTTAAAGACCAAAGTTTATCCCTTGAATTCCTAAGCAGAATCCTAGAGGCTGACTGTAGGCCACAGAATACTGGTTTAGCAAGACAGAAAATAGATGACAGCAGCCTGAGCTGCCTTCAGGTTTTGACAGGACAACGCTCAGAGTGGCTCATTGTGTAGTTGTTTCAGGTTGCTGTTGTCCTCCCACATATCACTGGAAGGAGTGCTTCTTATGTCATGGCTGCAGCGTCTAGAGCACCTCTGACAGAGTTAAAAACCTCCTACTCACAAACAAGCATCATATCCCCTGATGCAGGCAATATCTTGATTCCTTTCACAGTCAAAGCATATTAACTACCTGTTACACCTTTAGCTCAACTTCATGTAAACTGGACTGCTTGCAAGCCCTTCGTAAGCATCAGTCACACACTGGCAAAAGTTAAGGTAACAACGCACAGGTTCTGAGCACTCTTGCACCCCCACACAGAGTGTTCTAGGACCCCTATACACATGCTGTCAAAGGGAGGGAAGTATAAGCAGGGAAATACAACTACTCTCATCTTTCTGCTAGGTAGTTCCAGCTTCAGAGTGGTTTTAAAGAGCAAATAAATATAGGAATGTAGGCTTTACTGATTTGTTGTTTGGGTTTTTATCTTTCTCAGAGTTCTAAGAAACTGAATACCAGAAAGTACCTTACTGGGGAGTGTATAGGGAACAAATCAAGTCCTCTCAAGTTAGCAGCCATAGATAAAACATGTAAAAGCATTCACATGAGGGAGAGTACTTCATAGCGAAAGCAAGACAGCACTTTCTGCATACCTAGGAAGTGGTTGATGCAGAGATTGCGGAGAGCCTTGGGCATCTGGCAGATGGTGGAACAAAGGAGTTTCATGGAGAGTGGTTGCTCAGTGGTCTCGCTTGATCCATTCAGCTCGCTCTCATATTTTACACCATTCAGCAAGATATTAGCAACCTGCACCATAAGAACTCCCAGGTCAACACGCACAGTAAGAAAAACACAAACATCCTTTGAGCAAACTTATGCAATATCACACGCCTATCTGATCATCTGAAAGTTAAACTCTGCTACTGCAGTACGTTGACATAAAGAACAGTGTATTCAGGAGATTAAGAACAGTCTAGAAACTGTAAATTCAGCCATGGAACAAGTGTTAAATGGCAGCACTGTACTACAGCGTTCAGTATACTTCGAACAGTACTCTTCATTTCTCTAGGGTATTTGGCAACCACTTCCAGATGCTAGCATAGGGAAGGCGGCACCCACAGCCAGGTGAATTTGGCTCCTGAAGTTTTGGAGACATCAAGGAAGAAGAGGCTGGTTTCAACTGAAACGCACTGCTTGCTAACCTTGATGCCAAATCTCTGTGTGCACAGTATGTAAAGTCCTGGCCCTAAGGAAGTCTGCTCTCACAAATTTGGTCTAAGGACAATAACAGCAACGAACAAACAAAAAGCCCCCCCAACCCCCCCCCAAAAAAACAACCCCAAACCCAACAGAGGACAGTTTACCTCATCCTGGATCATAAAAAAATGGGGTCTCAGACATTCCAAGTTATCACCAACAGTGGGAATTGAGGTCAGTCTTATGCCTGGGCAAGGGAAACCTCACCTCCCTGCTGGAATCAGATAGCATGACTGCCATAAGGAGAAGCTCACGGGAGAATCCTATCCCTGGCCCTATCTTGCAGGTATGTCTGTGAAAAGGGAAGATACAGGCTCAATAAAAACGTGCCTTTTTCTGCTCTTGTGTGGCAGCTCCCTGGGTCATGAACCAGGGCTAAATATACCAACCTAACTTTCACGCATGGCCCAGTGAGAGAAGAATGCTCCCATTTCTGCTGTCTTAACAAAGGCAGCTGACAGACTGCCAGTCATAATTCACATCCTACCCTGTCTTTTACCAATAAGGTCACAGCAGGTATGCTGCTCCCATGACTTTCACGAGCAAACTGCCACGAGCAGTCTGAAATGATGAATTTGTGCATCCCACGCTTAAAACTATAGAAGAAATTAAAAGAATGCTCAGGTTTACATGGTCATAGCATTGATTTTCTGCCCTTACCTGTTGGCTGAAGGTTACGTTTCTTCTTCTGCTATTTTCTGGACAGTGTCCTGTTACGATATCTGGAATGGCCAAGGTCTGAGGCCTTTTCAGGATCCCTGACGACCGTGGCTTTATCGTATCCAGTGAGCCCACCCTCAGCACCTCGCCGTCAGGCCCCGGTGTTATGCTGCTCTCCCCTTGCTCCAAAACTCCATTTTGTCCTTGGTAACAGCCATCAGGCACCCGAGGAAAGCTGACACTGACAGGCTGTCTGGGCAGGCTGGCTGGAAGTGCTACGTAACTATTGTGCCCGCCTGTAAAACAGTCTATAAGCACACTGTCAATATTTGAAGTCCCAAATGATGATGCAAACTCATTAATTCCTGTCAAGGAATTGTCTCTGCTGATAAAACTGCCATATTTGGGTGTGAGTGGGCTCAGGGGGGAAACGGGACTCGTAAAACTTGCATGTAAGTGAGCTGAGTTATGAGAAGCAAAGTTTTCATTTACACCCTCCTCAAAGAAGAAAGGTGGAGAAGGAGGGAGAGGAAGACTTGGACTCTTCATCACCTTTTTCTTCCTGACAAAGGACCTTAAGGGCCTTTCTGGAATGCTAATTAGAGTCAGTACAGTAGTGATAGTCAGTGTAACTGAGGTGAAGACATAGATGACACGAAGTTGCCCTCCCACAGCTTTTCCAAAACTGGTTTTATCCCAGTGTATTCCTCCAACAACATAACCAAAGCCACCTCCAAGACCTGGTGGAAAAACAGAGCCAAGATTATCTTCCCTAGCCAATCCTGGAAGTCAGTAACAGCACTATTTGTCTAATGATTCGTGAGTAGAATCCAACGTGTTAGTTCTGGTTTACTACTCAAGCCCTTTTCCATTCAAATGCAGTAATAAGCACAGTTATCCATGCCACAAGGACAGTCTGATGTACGAACATAGTACAGAGAGAGAGAGAAGGTCAGTGCTGTAAAAGTGATGGTACAAATAATTAAAAACTATAGTTCTTTCTTTGCCATGAACAAACCACTTTACCTTCAGCTATTTCAGTCCGTAAAACAGAAGTGTCCACCAGCCTCGTGGCAAGGCTCTGCAACCAGTCAGCTAAGACTGTTTTCCTGAAAGTAAGTGAAAATCCATTTTCCTCACTCAGTTAGAGGAACACAGATCTAACTGTGTCCAAGACAGACTGAATCACTTCAGAAGTGTAGCAAGCTCATTATTCAACATGTTGGCAGCATACAAAACTGCAACTGCATTTACTACCAATGAACATAGAAGTTCTGAGGGCACTGGATACCACTCTCACTCCATTAAGAAGGAGGAAGGCCTACGACACTATCCTTTCTTTCTTATGACCACATTCAAGTGGGAAACAGTCTCCTGCTGGTGACAAAAACTAGCCTAGAACAGTACAGCAATTGAAGATGACAGCAGTGAGGGATCACAGTGCCCAGTACGTGCTTTCCCCTCCAACAGAGTGACTAAAAAAGGTATTTTCCACACCTGCAGGAAGCTGAACCTCTTCCCTCAAGGGATTTTGTTTCCATAGATGTTATAAATGATGCTGAGGGACCTTCAGATGAACAACCCAAGACTGCGTCTTGTTTGACTTTTGGTAGTTACAAAAGCCTTTTACAGTAAGCATGAGTTTGGTTTCAAAGTTAATTAGAGTCACCTCTCCAGGTGTTTGGTTATTAGGCTTATACAGGAAAACACCAGTGATTTACACTCTGCCTTCTGGCAGAGGGCTTGTTTACTTAGGTCTCACGTCACCCAGGAAGCACCAACAAAGCATACCTGCTAACAAAGCGTGGATGTTGAGGCCCCTGTCTTGATCCACTGGGCTGCATACATCCATCATGTAGGCATGACTGGGATTGTCTGCTGAATCTGCGCTGAAGTCCATGAGGACAACACCACAGACCGTAAGAATGATACCCCATTTGTGGTTATTCACAGTGTCAGACAAGGTGCTTCCTATATCTTTGCCATTAAGCATAAGCGAGAGCCCAAGCAACGCTCCTGGGAACAAAACCAAATTGAAATCAATCAATTGACTGCTTGTAAGTAAAGAAATCTCCAGTGCTCCATGCTCTAAAAGCATTATACTACCTGCACAACCTTGCAGCAAGCACAATTGCCCTTGTACAGACCATACAGTCTGGGGAATAAGCGTGGCTTATAGGATATACATAACCCTTTTCCACTGTTCAAACTTAACAAATGTCTGGAGTTGGTTTTGGTTACAGAAAAACATCCCTGACCCTCAAAACATCACCTCTTCAGACTCTGACAAGACAAGATTGCGTGGATCTCCAGCTGCCAAAGCATCACCTTGGTGCCACTCACCACCTTCAGATCCACAACACCCAACATTTCGAAGACATTTTGTTCAGCCTAGTGCCACAGGGGATGTCACAGAAGGGAGATGGTTCTACATGCCAAGTGTTATGCCCATCACTTCTGAAAGACGCACCTATTGCTAAGACCAGAATGAAAGGTCGTCTCCTCCCGAATCTTGATGTGCATCTGTCGCTCCAGGCTCCCAGCAAAGGCTGTAGCAAGAATCCTAGTAAAAAGGAATCACCAATAAGTAGCATTTTTCTATGAGCCTGTTTCACATGGGAGTTAAACTAAGTAGCTTAAAAGGCAAGTAAAGGCAGGACACCATGGCACAGCAATATCCTCAGTCAGTAGGAGTCACCCAGATGCACAAAAAGCGTATTGCTTGGCACTGTCCAGGCCAGGGACTGAATAACCTAACGTGCCACTGCTCATTGCCATGGCAGTTCCTTACACACTATTTCATCTACCCCATCCTAAATGGGAACTCCCCTTAAGAATTAACTTGGAAGACAGCAGGAAGCAAACAGGCAAGTCGGAAAGGTACTTGCATTACCCTGGGCCAGCCTGCGAGTAGAAGCCTATCTACTCCTTCTGAAGCACACTGCACAAGCATGGGAACAGGCAGAACGAAGTTTCCACACGGTAACAGCCCCTCCTATGGTTCTTCCCGTAGCAATAGATATGCTTTCACCCCTGCCTGTGTGCTAAGGCCTGTAACAGTAGTGGCTGATGACCCTTCATTATCAGAAGGCTTTGCTTTAAAAAGTTAAACACGAGAAGGCAATACCACCGTGCCTTTTTCACACATCCCAGGGAACTGTGTATGCTTTTTTCCCTAGGGACATGAATGGATACATTGATCCTCTTTTGCTACTTTTTAAATATAGGAACAGAGCAAACAAAGCTTACCCTTGCACAAAATCTAAGAGGTTCATAAGCTATTAAAAGAACTGACCTTTTGGTCACACTGGGCCCATTTCAGGCAAGACACAGCAAGAATTAGTCTCCATTTGGCTGTCTAAAATTATAGCTAGTGCTTCTTAACCTTGAGAGCACACAGAATATACTGTATGAACAGCTGAGGTAGACAAAACAAGAACATACACCTTGTGTAGTAGAAAAAAAAGAAGACGGAAGAAATAGCGAAAGGTTACCTAATATAGGGCTGATGAACCACACCATTCCATACAGTTGGTCTGGAAGCCCCATCTGAAGCAGCACAGGGGTAACATAGGCTGTTTCTATGGCATAGCTGAACTCGAGCCCAAAGAGAATGCACCCATTAAAGAGGAGTTCTAGGAAAGACCTCTGAGGCTGAAGATCCCCAAAGTCAATCAAATCAATAGGACACGGAGTATTTGGTGGTGGTGGTGGAGAAGGGCGAATGTGTTTTCTCCTCTTTGGATGTCTCTTGAAGTTGTTGGCCCGATGACTTATGTGCCGTGTGACCGATCCAGAATAGCCTGGAACTTGTGACCTCCAGATTTCCTGAGAAGCCACATTTGGCAAGAGTGCAGCATCACTGACAGGGGTTGTTGTAGATGGTGGAATCATCACAGGTAGGTGTCTGGAAGAAAAATAGCTCAGAATAATATGGTTGAGTAAGAAAAACTTCGCTTAATTCCATTTACTGAAGTTCAAGCCATCTCTCAACGCTTCACATACTGAGTGCAGCCTTCATATTAGTTACAACCTTTTCTCTCCATCTCTTAACACAAAGTATATATGTTTTATGGGCACATCTCTGTTTTTGGACAAATGAGACACCAGAGAGCCTATCTTGGTTACCTGGGCATCATCTACCATCACTGGGGTCTGAGACTGAAATATTTAACATCATTAGCAGTCACTCATGTCACACTTCCCAGGGGTTCCAAGAACAGCAATGGGCTTACGTTTATCTGCAACTCACTCAAGCTAAATTAAGATGAATCATGACCTCAGTCTAAGTTGACAACAAAGCAAAGCTGTGGCTTGGCTGCAGATCCAGACCCCTGCTGCAATGTGAAATCACCATCCGGTACTGATCCTACCATTCCTGCTGCCTGTGCTGAGGCTAAGGCTCAATGCAAAACTGTTTTCGCAATGACTGAGTTTTTCTTCCTAGTCACATTCCTGAATTCAGCAGAGACACTATGCTGCAAGGACAGGGTCTGATCCTCTGTTTCTTGCGGGTTCTATTTCCGCAAGACTTTACTGGAGCACCCAAAGAATGTGGTTTCAAAGTTCAGACTACACAAGCTGAACACTTGGATGAAGTCAGCTGATGACAAACAGGCTTGGAACCAGAAGCTGATACCATTTCAATGCAGGAATTGAAGTAATTCCTGAGAAGAAGCCACCCTCTGCATGACTATTCCCTGCTCACAGATTAGTGCCATTCAAGTGCTGAACAGCCTCCTTGGGTCTCATCAGAATCGCTCCTGTAGCCAAAGTGTGCATACTGTGGTAGGTAAACCAGCCAAATGCTCCAAACAGCAGGATAGATCCCAACAGATCTGCTGAATTAATGGACCACACGTAATGTCCTGCCCCTCATTGCCAGAAACAGAAATAGCTCATAAGTGAAGTCTGATCTTTTCTTTACTCACTCTTGTCCTACGACCAAAGGCTGCCGCTGCACAAGGATGGCTCCATATCACCCCACAGGAAAACCCTCACAGCTACACACTAGTAATCAAAACAAATGTCTTTTTTTTTCCCTGGGGAAAAATCTCCTGCCTGTTCTGCTACTTTGGCTGTACAGAATTCCCAAATTTCCATTTTCTGCTACTTCCTCCAGCACATTTCAAGCTCCACTCTTCCTGTAACACTCAGTCCATGCAATGCCATTCTTCACTGCCTATCTCCCACTGTGATCAAAAGCATAACTCCATAAACTCATGTTTACCATCACACTTCAGTGTGCTTCAGCACAGCTGTGGGATGATGCCCTACACAGAACAAACCCCAGGTACATGCAAGCATCCAAAGAGAGACACTGCACAATGAAAAACCGAATGCCAAGCACCTCACAGAAGACTGCAGTTGGGGTAACTTTAACTGTATTTGGGGCCTGAGGGCAAGAAGGAAGGGTGATAGTGAGAAGACACTTACTGAAGTATTGCTAACATTGTACCACAGGTTTCCTCAAGACTGCTCCTCTTCAGACCAAGATGCATACCACGTAAGAGAGCAGAACAAGCAATTCATAACCATAACTACACATGGGCCTTGACAATGCCCACCCCACAAGGCACCAGCAGAAAGAGCATTTTGTTGGGAAAGCTCATTAGACATAAAGTCCCTAGAGAGGCCACCAGAAGGAGAAGCGTGTGCAGACTGTACAGATACCCTTGACACTGATCTCACAAATTACTGAGAATTTCATATGACCCATGTCTTTCATAAGCAGAGTACTTACTTTGCAGGAGTATTTTTATCAGCTTTCAGGTCAAAGTAATTCCCTCACAATCAGAATTTGTTAAAAATTAGAAGAGAGATACCTGAAACATAACAGAAACCCAATCAGATTCATGACGGATGCTCTAACAACCCTTGCACACAGACACAAGACAGCTGTGTTAACACTCTCCTTCAGCAATGCCTGAACACCTTGCCATTTGCACCCAGGGTGTTGATGTCCCTATGTTAATCTATTAGTTTCACTTCCTACTAGATCCCCCTTTATTTTCCTCTCTCGTTAAAAAGAGATTGTAAGTGACAATGTTTTAGCAACAGAAGAATGGCTCAAAAATACACGTTGACCTACAGTTACTTAGAACAAAAGGCTACTGTTGACAGCGTATCAGATCACCAATCCAGCAGCAAGTCACCCTAAAACTATGAGTTGAAGCTAATATTCCTGACTGCCCATTCTTCTCAGTTCAGGAACTGTTCACCAGAGGACATGTTCAGAGGACTTGACCCTGTCCTCAGATGAATGGACCCAGTGATCGCAATAGCTTCGAGGCAGGAAACCTCTCCTGCCGTGTAACGTGGCTGCTTACACCGTCACTAGCGATTTCTGGCACTCGATGCTTGTTACACCAACAACTGCGCATCCCAATCCGCAGGGCCTCGGCGACACCGGCTCTGCCGCCTGCTATCTGCAGTCAGACGTGCGTGGCAGGCAGGGCCCGGCCATCACGGCTCCTCCTGGGCACCTGCTACGCCAGGAAAGGTCTCTCCCCGTGCCAGAACCTGGTCCCGGTTTCCCTGCGGTGGCACCCAACACGCCGCAGCCACCAGCGATGCTGGGAAGGGCCGGCCCTGCCCGGGACCTGCCCGGCGCCACGGCCGCGGCTCCCAAACGCTCGAGTCAGCCGAGACGCTCCGCAGCCTCCCCCCACCCCCCGGGGCTCCCGTCCGGCGCGCACGGAGCGACCCTCGCACGCCCGTCGGCACCGGCACCTACCGCAGGCCCTGCCCCGCCCGGCGGCCTCCCCACAGCGGCGCCCGGCCCGGCCCCGCACTGCGCCGCGCCGCCACGCCGGCCCAGCCCCGGTGACGTCGTCCCGCACGGCGGCAGCCGGACCCGGAGCGGCGGAAACGGCCGCGCCGCCCCTCGCTCACCGGAGCGCGGCCGGGAGAGCCCGCGCGGCCGGGGCGAGGCCAAGAGCGACGTCAGGAGCCGCTCCTGCTGCGCGGCCCGGGCAGCGGCAGGTCACCATCCCCGCTCTTCCAAAGACTCACCCATACTGGCACTGGAATTGCAGGGGAGGTAGACTGGGATAGGAAGGGGTTTAGGGAGAGCGGAGATAGTTTTCGATAGGCCCGTAGGGCAGATGCTGTAGGTGACATTGCGCTTCTTTCTCTTCCCCTTAAAAGTTTTCCCCTTCCTTGGGTAAGATGAGTTGGCAGTTTTGGTTTATAGTGCCATATTTTGTGCTCATGTTTCAAATTTCCTCGCGGTTTGCAAACAAAGATGTCATTATGTATGTCATTGTGCAGTCTGCTCTGTATATTCTTTTAAAACTTCAGACTTGGGGCATTAAGCATTGAGGATGCTTAACTTTATCTCCAGAGGTTATAACACTGCATGACTCCTTAGTTCTTTAGCTCTTGTAGAATTTTTTGTAGCAGCCTCAGTTCCACCCACCATCCATGTGTTAAGAGCATTCTGCAAACACTGAGCAGATGAACACTTAAGAGCCCCATTCCTCATCATTAAGGATGACTTTTTGTTCCACCTGGGCACAGAGAACGTGTTACATTATTAATGCTGTCAGGCAGTCGTAGTCATCATACACACTGATTTTTCCTGTGAACATTTTGAGACATTAAACGCACATTTACTCAATATTCAATTAAATAAAATTGACTGCTTAGAACTTACAAGGATTAACTCTTAACACATTTTAGCATAGTTTGTCCGCTTGCGAAGGTGGGACAAGGCATTCTACGCCTTCCTAGGTTAGCAACAAAGTAGAGAATGAAATCAGTTCCTGCTGTGCATTCATCTATCAGCAGCCTTTAGGCTTTAGACAAAACAGAAATCAAAAACCTCCTCTTCCCTGTGAGCTTACACATAAATTGCAGTTGAAACGTAAAGATACTAATTTACTTTGTACTAATTTAACCCAACAGCATTCAAAAGAGTGAGTTTTGGTGATGAATGCCTACTGCTATGAATCTGCCCTGTTCCCTACTACCTTCTCTGCCTGCAGGATGTTTTTCAATCACTGAACTCTCTTGTTAAGTCTTTCCACGCAGCAGCTTCTGACAGCGTATTCATCTCTCTGCTTGTTTACAGCTTCATGTTAGGCTTGCTGTTTCATTTGCCAGAAGACCTTATTTGCCTCACTCAGATCAGGACCATCCCGTTTCTTGGAAACCTCTTTTCTATCCCCTTATAGTTCTTTTCTCTGAGATAAACATTAGCTCCAGCTGAGTGAAATTCTGTGCAAGCTACCACAGAGCGGATGTTGTTCTGTCTCTTAAACAGTTTCATTTGGGTGATTTTGGGTATTCCTTTTTCCATCTTGAAATCGAGGTGAACATTTCTCAGTCAGGTTCAGTGGCTCTGCCATGTCCTTCAGTCATTAAACCACTGTGATTCACCTGGAACTGGCACCTTTTTTTTCCCAAGCATGACTTAATTCTTTTCGTCAGAGAATCAAAGTCTGTACCAAACAGACACGCTGTGAAAGCTGTTCTGTGCTCAGGGGCTGCTGCTTCAGACCCAAAGGCCACATGAATCCTGCAGCAAAGATTAATATATGCTCAGTGATGTTCTGTGGTATGGAATACCCCTTTGGGCTAGTTCAGGTCAGCTATCCTGGCTGTGCTTCCTCCCAGCTTCTTGTGCCCCTCCTCACTGGCAAAGCATGAGAGACTGAAAAGCCCTTGATCAGGGTAAGCTCTATTCAGCAACAACTAAAACACTGGTGTGTAATGAACATTCTCAGACTAAAGCAAAATACAGCACTGCACTGGCTACTAGGAAGAAAATCAACTCTATCCCAGCTGCAACCAGGACAGGTATCAGTTGAAGAACTACAGTTGTATTTCTATAAATCCCAATCATGCCAATAAAGTCTATGTCCTGTGGTATTGTCAGTACAAATATAGAGTAAGAAGGAAAAAAGGAAGTGAGTTCAAACAAGGTGATATGCATTTCAATTACACATTCTTAATGCTTATATGGTAAGAAGACCTTACCACGTAAATTACACCGCCCTAGCATCCCTTACATGCCAACTGAGTAGGTGCAGGGAAGCCAGTGGGAGGCTAATACAATGTAAGAACATAAAGAAGTCTGATATATGCCAGTTTGCACACCACCTCCATATCTGGCCCTCAGCATATTGTCATAAGATTTTAATAGTCCAGATAAATCAGTTCCTGAACCTGGATTCACCAAACTCCTACACTGGCTGTATTAATGGATGCAATTAAACATCTAAGAAGGCACTTGAATTTTTACTTAAAAGAAGGAAGAACACAGGCAAACACCCTCCTCCTCCAAAAAACACCAAAACTAGCACCAGAAACAAACCACGGTCTCTTTATGCTGCAGAATGAACAGCAATGGTAACAGCACTGATCTATTTGCATTAAAATTGAGTTGTCAATTCATTGAGAAATTTAATATAGTGAACTACTACACAAGAACATGATTTTTCAAGAAACAAGTATGTGCATTCTGACAACTGCCTCTGCACTTCCTAACTCTGTACTTGTGTAGATACAACAAAAAATACAAAAGGAGTTTGTGTCTGCTCCCATCCTTTCCAGGAACAGAGCAAATCTACCATAGTGTTTTCAGGTAAAGGTGAGCCCACGCTCCCGAAACAATCCATCAAGAATTATCTTCAGGATGCCCCCTGACAAGTGTGCAAGCAACTACAATGTTGTGTGTAAAGCTCTAATAATGGGAAAAGACAGAAATGCCCCCGCTATCGACAAATAATACACGAATCAGGACACAGTGTTGGACTGTAGTTCAAACTGCTTTGTAAAACGGTTGGCTTTTTTTTCTCTGGGATTTTTAAACAAAAAAAAGTCTTAAGGAAAGAACCAATCTGGTTTTCTAAAACCTGGCATGCTGTCACCATACTAAAGAAATGTCAGTAATCTCTCAGCCCAGCCTACAGCTGCTGTATCAAATGAAAACCAAAGTGCTGTGGCCCCTTCTCAAGCCTCAGTGGATTATTATTCAGGAAAATGTCACTAATGCCACACTTCACTGAAACCATTCAAGTGTTGCACAGAGACAGCCCAGTAGCTTTTCTTCTACTGGTCTGCACTTGATTTGACTCATGCTTAGTTTCAGCTCTACTGTTTCCACAGTAGCACTGTGCATGCATTCAGTCATTTGTTACTGCTCGATGAGCATTTCTACTTGCTTCTGCGGGACAAGCCTGTGCTGCCCTAGATAAACCGTGAGAGCATTTACCTGTCTCTTGCCTTCAGCAGACAACCACCCCTTCAATGTCTCTCTCCAATGAAAACCCAGCACTGTTCAGAGAATTAGTCACTAGAGGGCACTAAGAGAATCCAGAAGATTGAGAACGCGCTTGGAATCACAATGCCACAGTCCTACAAGCAGTTTAGAGTCCAAACGGCAAGTTTTGCAGTTACTTCCTAAGCAGCTCCTGCAACCAACACATTAAGACACACTACCAGTGAAGTAATTCTATTTCAGAAGATCTTTGAAATCTTCAATTTTCCAGTAACTGAATGAAAGAAGGCTCAGGAAAATCCTCTGAGGCAACGTGTGCCAAGGTACATTGATCATGCACTTCTGGACAAAGCCTGAACAAAAATGTTAACTGCAGATATGCAAGATATTTACCATGCAAGATATTTACCATGCAAGATATTGGTGCAGGAACACACAAAGCAGTGTGTCAAACCCACTGAAGTACAGTATTTCATTTCATTGTGATGCCTCAAGTGGACTATGCATTTGACAAGAGACAAGGACATGATTATGCCCCAAGACCATGCAGGTTTTTTTTCTTGATCTGACAAGCCACAGAAAGATGACAAGCTGCATGTC